GTAGCATCCCCATGGTCACGAGATCAAAATTCAAACACTTGGGAATCGACTGACATTTATGAGTGTCCCGGGTCATGCGATCCCCTTTTGCAACCTTCTGACAAACAGTCAACGGGGAGGCCAGATTCACTTAAACCGTGTTACTAATTGAACAACTGCAGTGATTCAGTTATGCAGTGGCAAAGTTCCAAATAGCGCAGTCTTGGAAGGTGCTGGAATTTCTAGCATGTATACACTATTGAAACAGTGACGTCTACGTTGGCTGGGGCATGTCGTGAGAACGGCTGATGGTCGGATTCCGAAAGATCTCCTGTATGGAGAACTAGTGCAGGGAAAGCGCCTCAGAGGGAGACCACAGCTGCGATATAAGGATATCTGCAAGAGGGACCTAAAGGCCCTGGGAATGGACATTAACAACTGGGAAACCTTGACCTCCGATCGTTCAGCTTGGAGGCTAAAGACGCAGCATGGCCTTCTCCAATTCGAGACACTTGTTCGGCAGGCCGAGGCAAAGAGGCACTCCCGGAACCAGCGAAATCTGGGGGCTGGGCAGGGGACAGAATGTATCTGCCCTCAGTGTGGAAGGGATGGCCACTCTCGAATTGGCCTTTTTAGTCACCCTAGATTTTGTTTTAGGATTTCTTTCCAGAGCACGACACCATAGTCTCTTGAGCCTGAAGGATGCCAATGAAAATGATGATTCAGTTAAGAACTGTGGCAAGAAAGGTTGTAGAATGGGACAAAAATTCACTTAACAAATATCTCACTTAGCAACAGAAATTTTGGGTTCAATTGTGGTCATACGTCGAGGACTACCAGTAGTATTAACAAGCCAAAAGTCTTCCTTTGAGGTAAATTGGACTACCGAAGATGGGTTATATTTTCTTAGAAATTAAAAGTCCAGTTCTGGCAATTAACAAAGCTGGAATGAATATTGTTTCATACCAGATACAGACAGTAGCCTTAATTTGATGTAATGTTTGCTATTCTTGACCAAATCACTGATAGTTATTAAAACTGCAGATAATGGTAATGATTTGCAGGAAATCAGCAAATATTTTTGACCTCAAGTTGTCTGTTATGAGAGTGGCATCAGAGTTATTCTCCACTCCTCAATTATATTTCTGAAATGAAGAAAATTTAGGTTCCTCAGAATGCATTTTTGGGGGGAAGAACAGAGAGGTGGTATTTAGCCGGTTCAGACCGGTTCACCCGAACCGGTAGCGGAAATTGCTCTATGCCATCCTATTTAGGGATGTTTTTGAGGCCGGGCACATGCACGGAAGGCGTGTGTGAGAGCAAAGCGCATGCTCAGAAGGCTGGTTCCATGTGTGGAAGGCAGGCACATGCGCGAACCGGGCATGTGTGAGCATGAAGTGAGCGTGCGTGCGTGGGGCGAACCGATAGCAACATAATGTGCAACCCATCTTTGGAAGAACTCCATCCAGTTTCTAAGTTGAGTATGTATAATACAGTGATGGCTAACCTTTTTGCCGTCGCATGCCAAAAGCGCGAGCGCGAAGGGGTCACACGCATGTGCCCACACACATAATTCAATGTCCCCCCCCCTCGCGCTTCTCCTGTTTTTGGCATGCGATGGCATGGTGGGCCTGGTAGGCCTGTTTTTTGCTCTCTCCAGGCTCCAGAGGCTTTCTTAGAGCCTGGGGAGGGCAAAAATGCCCCCCCCCCACCGGAGGCCCTCTGGAGGCTGGAAATGGCTCATTTCCTGACTTCCAATGGGACTGGAAGGCTCGTTTTTTGCCCTCTCCAGGCTCCAAGAGGCTTTCTTGGAGCCTGGGGAGGGCAAAAATGGCCTTCTCCACCCTCCTGGAGGCCCCTCCGGAGGCTGGAAACAGCCTGTTTCCTGACTTCCGTTGGGCCCAGAAGGCCCGAAAATCAGCTGGCTGGCGCGCACATGCGCGCTGGAGCTGACCTCAGGCGTTCCCACAGATATGGCTCCGTGTGCCACCTGTGGCACGTGTGCCATAGGTTCGCCATCACGGGTATAATACAACGATAAAAATGACCTTGAAAAAGAGTTAACGTAATGTCAAAAAGGATTTGCATCTGTGGTTGTGTTGTCTGCTAGGAAAAAGGTCTTTGACACCATCCTTGTAGTCAATATATAGGGGGGAAATCCTAGAAAATACTTCCTTGCAATTCCATTTAGTCTTTAAAAATATATCAGCATAGATTAAAAACAGTTGGAAGCAGCAGTTAATTTAACTCCAAAGGCACTTGTTTTTTAGGAAACACCTTGAGCATTCCCTGCCCCCCCCCCAAGGTTGAGCAAGGGATAGAAATGCCACAGCTGGTAACGCAAGTAATTTCTGCAACATGCTACTGGTTGCATCTCCTGTTTTGCATTGCCCTCATGCTCATAGTTGCAGGCATGGTTGACTAGGTTGCAGCTGAAGACTGCAGGTGAAAACTATGATCAGCTTTTGCACTACCGGATTAAAAGCAAAACTCTATCCTTATTGTAGCTTTTTATATTTAAATTGTTTTTATTATAATATATATATATATATATATATATATATATATCTTTTACGTTTTATGTCTATTTGTACAGCATCCAGACTCACTGTGTGAGGGAGATGGACAGTTTTTAAATATGATCTATAATATTAAATATTAAAAATTATTAAAAAAAGCTCAGCCACAAATTGATCATCCGGAAAGGAATTAAGGTTCTTACTCTCTTCTAAAGAATATAGTTTCTGAAAGCAACGCCTTTAATTAGCAAGCAGGATGGATGTGTTTCTTGTTTACAATAATGAGACAGCATCTTCTTACCTCTTTGATGATGCTGAAGTGATAGAATAGGCTGAGTCACCACAGTTTGCAAATCGTGGGTTGCCCCTCAAATCTTAGACTTTAGACTTAGAATAACTTTATTGTCACTTTGAATGTACACTAATCGGCATACATTAAAATGAAATTTCATTGCATACAGCTGTCAAAAGGTCACATCTTCCAATATACACTACATAAACATGACAAAATAAATAAATACAAAATTATGCATACACCCACATCAGTGGTGAAATTCAAATTTTTTTACTACCAGTTCTGTGGGTGTGGCTTGGTGGTTGTGGCAGGCCTGGAGGAAGGATACTGCAAAATCCCTGACTCGGGGGTCAGCCAGAGGTGGCATTTGCCTGTTTTCCTATAATCTTCTCGGCTGTCCTCACTACTCTCTGTATGGACTTTCTATCTGAGGGAGTGCAGTGTTTAAGATCTTCTTCATATCTAGAACGTATTTGCAAATATGAAAACCAATCCATTTTACAGCCCTGTTCTTCTAATTCTTGCTTTAATTTGAGTTCACCCTTTTCATCCATTAATTTGCTATATCTAACAATTTGCTCCCTTTTGAATACTACAGAATATGAAAATGCTTCAATTGTAGATACCCAGATTGGAATCTTTAAATAATGTTGTTTTTTAATCTTCTCCCACCTTTTGTGACCATCTGACCAGCAAAAAGTCAATGGGCAAGCCAGATTCACTTAAGAACCGTGTTACTAATTTAACAACTGCAGTGATTCACTTAACAACTGTGGCACGTAAAGTCGTAAAATGGGGCAAAATTCAGCTTGAGCTACAGTAGTGGCCAAAATTGTGGAAACTTTTTGAGAAAAGTGTATTTTTGAGGTTTGATGGCTAATAACATCACTTTTTTGGGGAGTTTCAAGATAATCCTATTCCACTGCTGGAATGGCCTGGACCTTAACCCCATTGAAAATCTATGGAGCCGATTAAAGAAACTTGTTAGTCAGAAGCGACCCAGCAATAAAACCCAATTAATAGAAACAATCCTTCAATCTTGGTTTCACATTATAACAGCTGCAGAACTAAAAGACTTGGTTCACTCCATGGGAAGACGTTGTAAGGCCATAATTCATGCTAAATGTTACCCAACTAAGTATTAACTGACATGGGGATCATTTTTGTATATCTCGTTTTTTCTACGTGTTTCACTTTTCTCCTTTATACTGTAACTGCTATTCTAATAGCAAATCCTTCATAAAAGTTATTGCATTACATTCTTGATTAAATGATCTTTCCATCGATATATAATTTTATGGTACTACTCCAAAAAAAAAAAGTGGTGTTATTAGCTAGTTTTAGAAAATACACTTTTCCCAAAAGGTTTCCACAATTTTGGCCACTACTGTAGGTAAAATCTGTGTTAGTGAGTTTGTCATACAATGCCTTGGTTATTGTACAGGTAGTCCTCGACGTACAACAGTTCCTTTAGTGACCATTGAAAGTTACAACGGCACTGAAAGAAGTGGATTATGACCGTTTTTCACCCTTATGACCATTGTAGTATCCCCATGGTCAAAATTCAGATGCTTGGCAACTGACTCATAGTTATGACGGTTGCAGTGTCCCAGGGTCATGTGATCCCCTCAGTGCAGTGATTCACTTAACAATAGTGGCAAGAAAAGTCATAAAATGAGGCAAACCCGTGTGACCGCTGTCTCGCTTAGCAACATAAATTTTGGGCTCAACTGTCGTCGTAACTCGAGGACTACCTGTACTACATTATGTTTAATTTTAATGATGTTTTCTATTTGGCTGATAGAGATTTTATTGTACGGTGTTGCTTTTGATGATTGTTGTTTGTCATTCGGATTTCATATGTTAGGTGAGTGGCCATATCAACTTTAAAAATAAGTAGACCTCTGTTCTACATTGCCTAATATGAATTTCATATTCGAGTGTAAACTATATGAAAACTGTTGTGTGTCATGCCAGCTGAGTACTGATCTCCAATTAGATATGTAAAGTTATTGCAGTCCTCGGTGAAGCAAAATTTGAACCTTTCTGTCTAATATTTAACTTCTGTAGATTTCTGCCTTCCACCCAGAGCAATGAAAGTTCCCTGATCAGTTTGTTTTCTGTTTCTCACTGTGCGTTTTGAGTTGCTGGGAAAAAGAAAAAAAAAATAGGATCTTAAGGATTTGCTGCTGCTGTTTCTTTTACAGAGTTGGCTCTTCAATGGCCGGAGAAAGAACGAGGAAGGGGTTGAAATGAATATGAATGCTATCCTAGAAGAGATTCTGATTAAAAGGTCTCAACAAAAGAAAAGGACATCGCCTTTAAATTACAAAGAGAGGCTCTTTGTGCTCACAAAATCCATGCTAGCCTATTACGAAGGTCGTCCAGAGGTAGGAAACTGAATTTCAATTTTATATTTTTGCTATTGCCTTTAGTTATTTGTTCGTATGGTGTTTTATAAATCACTTTATATTTAAAAGAGACTAATAACTGTGGCTGACATTTCATACAGTTCCTCTTATAATATAATATACATTATTGACTGCTTCAGGAGTGAAATCTGAACCAGTTTACTACCAGTTCACTGGCTGCGCATGTGCAGTGCGGACTATGCACCAAATGCGTGGTGCGTGCGCGCAGTGCACGCCAAAAGGAGGCATGCGGTAAGTAGAACAGCGCATGAGCGGTGGTGATCAGCTGTCGCACGCAATCTTTTTTTTTTATTTTTAAAAGCATTGCTTTTAAAAGTAAAAAAAAAAAGCCTCTGACAATCGCGCGGCTCAGCTGGGATCGTCAGAGCCTTTTAAAAGCATTTTTTTATAACCTCTGTAGAAAAAAATGCTTTTAAATGTTTAAAAAAAAACCCTCTCATGATCGCGTGGCTCAGCTGGGATCGTCAGAGCCTTTTAAAAGCATTTTTTTTTCCACGTCTTTGGCCGAAGAGGTTGTAGAAAAAATGCTTTTAAAAGTAAAAAAAAAAAGCCTCTGATGATCGCGTGGCTCAGCTGGGCATGTAGGGGGGGAGGGATTTTTGTAACCGGTTCTCCGAACCACCCACTGCGATTGCTACCGGATCAGATGATCCGGTCTGAACCGGGAGCATTTCACCCCTGGACTGCTTGTATGTAGGAGAGTTGTTCAAAACCCTGACTTGATGGAAAAAGTAGTGTCATTCTTGTTTCTGAGAAAGGCCATATCACCAGAGGGCCACCATAACTAGACCACAGTGGAAATCTAGACATCCCTTAGATCAGCGGTCACCAACTGGTGGTCCATGGACCATCGGTGGGCCGCGAGAAAATTTTGGTGGTCCACAGAAAAATTATTTGCATTTTTTATTTTGTGCTAAATCAGGGGTCCTCAAACTACTGCCCCGGGACGGATACGTGCAATGAACGTTTGTGTTGCTGCAGAGAGTCTCCCCCTTTGGGGTCCTTTTGTGTGGTTCGGAGGGGGGCAGAAATTCCAACTTGGGATCTGCTTCGGCCTCCTGGTACGGGGCTTTGGACGAAGGCTGGAGGGAAGCACCGCTGGTGGCAAAGAGCCAGAGGGCCTTCTTCCAGTGGGACTGCCTCATGGCCTGGAACTGGCTGACCATCTCAGCCCACTAAGCCTCCAGGTGTTGGTACCTGGCCTTGCACTCCTGCAGGTCTTCCCTCTGTTTGGAAAGCCTATGCTCCTAGTCCTGAGTGAGATGCATCTGCTGAGCCTCCTTCTTGGTCAGATCCAATTTGAACTGAGCCAGCTTTTTTGCCAACTCTTTCTCACGGTGGCTGCTTAGCTCCAACAACTGCTTCCCGTTGGGGCCTTAAGGAGCCCAGGCAGGCAGGCAGGCGAGGAGTGGCTGGGAAAGGAGGAGTGAGTAGAGGCCGGCGAGACGCCCCTTGATGTGAGTGACATCCAGTTGGTCACACCCACCCAGTCACATGGCCACCTAGCCATGCCCACCCAGCTGGTCGTTAGGCGGATCATATTAGTGGTCTGCGGGATTTAAAATTATGAAGTTAGTGGTCCCTGAGGTCCGAAAGGTTGGTGACTCCTGCCTTAGATGGCAGTAAGGAGTTTTTATTGCCTTCCAATGCACATCCAGATTTTTGTAAGTCGGGTATGGTAGTCCCACACAAGCACAGGATAAAAACACCCCAAAGTTGGATCTAAATTCAATCCAAGAACGGGAGAGTTGGAAACCCCTCCCAAACGCCTGCTCCAAAATCCCAAATACAGCCTGCCTGAACAGTGCTTTTGGTTGGTTGCTGAAGTATCCATCTACTCCTTTATGTCTTAATATGTATTTGAAAATGATAGTTTCAGTTTCAGTTTATTTAGATTTATATACCGCCCTACTCCCGAAGGACTCAGGGCGGTGAACAGCCAAGATAAAACACATAGAATACAAAATTTAAAAAACAATTTAAAACGTATTAAATAAATTTGGCCCAAATTAAAATACCTCAGTTTTTAAAAACAAATTAAAATTAAATAATTAAAAAGAGCTAAGCCAGCCCAGCTTGTTGAAATAAAAAAGTCTTGAGGGTGCGGCGGAAAGTGCGTAAATCCGGGATCCTCCGTATCTCCGGGGGGAGTTCGTTCCAAAGGGCAGGTGCCCCCACAGAGAAGGCTGTCACCCTGGGTGCCGCCAATCGACATTGTTTGGCCGACGGCACCCTGAGGAGCCCCTCTCTGTGGGAGCGTACTGGCCGGTGAGAGGCTACCGGTGGCAGAAGGCGGTCTCGTAGGTATCCAGGTCCTGAGCCATGGAGCGCTCTAAAGGTGGTAACCAATACCTTGAAGCGCACCCGGAAGACCACCGGGAGCCAATGCAGTTCGCGCAGGAGAGGTGTTACATGGGAACGCCATGTCGCTCCCATAACCACCCGTGCGGCCGCATTCTGGACCAGACCTATGTAAGTACAATACCTCTTTTCAGTTCATTAAAGGAAACTTTAATAAAGAAAAAGACTTTAGTTTAGACAGTTTGCTTTGTGGGCCACTCAACTCGCTCTCTTTGTTTATAGAAAAAAAATATTTTTGTGAAATCGGGTTTGGATCGGGTTTGTACTGTGTTTCCCTGAAAATAAGACCCTATCTTATATTTTTTCAAACCCTGAAATAAGCGCTTGACCTTATTGCCATGCGCTCAAAAACCCGATTGGGTTTATTATCAGGGGATGTCTTATTTTGGGGGAAACAGGGTAGTATGTAAAATGTGTGTAGAAAGTCCTTTTTCATTCGGTTGGATCTATTTATCATTTTGGAAGATCGGTTGATGGGTTGTTAATTTGCCTCGTTGTGTTTTTTTCTTCCTTCCTCCTTATACACAAAACCTTTTTAATTAAAAACAACACTCTGGGTATTTGGGTGGAAGTGTTGGAGGATAAGAAAATAAGGCACTGAACCAGTTGGTTCAGTGCCTTATTATTAGAACTTAGAAATGAGAACTCGGAGGAAAAACTCATTTGGTTAAATGTTAGGGAGAAGCCTGTAATATGTACGCACTGAGAAACTGCTGGAATTCACCTTGCATCATTGCATTCCAGGATTGTGCTGAAGTGAAGTTGGTGACAAATTAAATGGGTGACTAATTAAAATCTTGTCAGGATGCCCTGGCAGTTAGCATCCCAAGAAGTAACTGGAATGACTGGAATCTGGAGGTCAGCGGGACATCTGTTTTGAACCAGGCCAATAGTCAAATTCAAAAGATAAAATAGTGGGGAATTATTGAACATAAATTTAACCTGACAGCATTTTCTAACTTACACAAACATGTTGCCCAAGTATATTCTAGGGCAGGGATCTGCAACCTTAAACGCTCAAAAAGCCATTTGGACCGGTTTCCCACAGAAAAGAAAACACCGGGAGCCACAAAACCTGGGTGGGCGTGGCCAACTCGACCTCACTCACTTCCACCAGTCACATGATCACCCCCCCAGCCACGCCTACCCAGCTGGTCATTAGGGCAGAGAACCGGTTGTTAAAAAACACGAGGAACCACAAAACCCTTTTAACATCTCCCCCTCTCCCCCTCCCTCCCTCTCTCTCTCTCTCTGTATCTCTCTATGTCTCTCTCTCTCCCCCCCTCTCTCTGTATCTCTCTGTCTCTGCCCCAGCCACTTCTCCATCACCTGCCGTGGCCCTTACCTTCTCAGGCTAGCCATGATGGGATCACCTGACAGGGAGCCACAGCAGAGGGCTCAAAGAGCCGCAAGTGGCTCCGGAGCCGCAGGTTGCTGACACGTGTTCTAGGCATGTAAAGCTATAAAAGTTTTAAAACATCGAAAGAAGCAAATCAGCATATAAGAAAAATATAGAACAATCAAAATCTCTCTGAATCATTGATATTGATGTGTTCAGGTATTGATGGTATCAACTCACCAGCCTTGGCATATCAACCTCTGCTTCTCCCCCCCTCCAAAGAGCTGAGACTGTGAAAAAAACCATCAGGCAGAGGTAACATGACCCATTGTACTTTGGGGCCCACAGGTATAAATACCTGCACACCTGACACCAACTTGACTACTGCTATAAAAGAGATTCCAGTGCCAGTTATTTTTATTTCCAAGAACACCTGTAGGGTCCTATGCTTGGTTTTGAAGTATGTCCTCTGGCTAGGAAAATAATACACTTTAGTATATATTTATATGATATACTCCATGGCTTAGGACCTGGGTACCTACGAGACCGTCTTCTGCCACCGGTAGCCTCTCACCGGCCAGTACGCTCCCACAGAGAGGGGCTCCTCAGGGTGCCGTCGGTCAAACAGTGTTGACCGGTGGCCCCCAGGGGGAGAGCCTTCTCTGTGGGGGCACCTGCCCTTTGGAACGACCTGCCCCCCGGATACACGGAGGATCCCAGATTTACGCACTTTCCGCCGTACCCTCAAAACTTTTTTATTCCAACAAGCTGGGCTGGCCTAACTTTTTTTAATTGTTCAATTGTAATTTGCTTTTAAAAAAGGGGTGTTTTAATTAGTATGGGCCAAATTTGTTTAATTTGTTTTTAATTGTTTTTTAAATTTTATATTGTATGTGTTTTATCTTTGGCTGTTCACCGCCCTGAGTCCTTCGGGAGAAGGGTGGTATATAAATCCAAAATAAACTTAACCAGAAAACTAAACTTAGATCTTAGTAAGGCATTTGATAAAGTAGACCACTCTCTTGGGAAGACAGAACAATATGAAATAGACTGGACCGCCACCGGATGAATTTGCAGTTGGCTGATCAACCACCCTCTGTGTGGTCCTCAATGGAACTACATCTACGTGGAGGGAAGCATCCAGTGGGGTTCACCAAGGTTCTGTCTTGGGCCCAGTGCTCGTCAACACCTTCATAAGTAACCTAGATGAAGGAATAGAAGGGGAACCTATCAAATTTGCAGATGACACCAAGCTGGGGGGGACTTGCTAACATGTTAAACGATGGATTCAAGATTCTGTTCTGCCCCAGCTACGGACCCCAAAGAACGCAGCGCACACAAAGTCCGTTCAAACCTTAATTTACGGAATAAACCAGTCTTTTACAACAACGGCTGTTAATTAATTGCATTAACAGCCACCAATAATTCAAAGAATAATAACTGAAAACTTACTATGGTTGGCAGAATGTCCAGAAGCAATTTGCAGGAAGCTGATAAGATAAGCAAGGCAAGACACAAAGGTATGTGAACTAAGTTGTTCCCTGCAAATTGCTTCAGTCGGCATTCCTCCTTAAATAGGCTAAGGGAGTGGCCAATTAGCCCCAAGCCTTACTCTCGAGGAGACCTCCTCCTGAGGAGCCACTCTTGCCTTTTGGCAGCTCTGCGCGCCCGTGCATCAAGAAGAGGCTCCTCCTCTTCATCTTCTTCACTTAAGGGATCTTCTAGAGATTCTGAAGGCCCTGGCTGAATACCTGCCTCTGGCACCACATCTTCTCCAGCCTCCTCATTGTCTGACTCGAGTGCCAGCTGCACAGGCTGCTGGCGCAGCACCACACCAGCCTCCTCGCTGTCTGAATTAGCTACTAGCTGCACAGGCCGCGTACGGGCCACAACAGATTCAGAAGGACCTTGAGAGACTTCAACGTTGGGCGCAATCCAACAACCTGCAGTTTAGTGGTGAGAAAAGTAAAGTCCTGCACTTAGCCAGGAAAAACCAAATGTACCGGTACAGAATAGGCAGTACATGACTCAACAGTAATGCCTGTGAAAGGAATCTAAGTGTCCTGATGCATCACTCCTTAAATATGAGCCGGTTGCCAAAAAAGCCAAGGCTGCATCAAGATAACATCAAGGGATAGCATCAAGATTACGAGTAGAGTATTGCTCTATATACGGTGTTAGGGCCACCATATTTGGAATCCTGATACCTGAATCCTCTCACCATGATGCGAAAAAGATACTGAGACCCTAGAACAGTGATGGCGAACCTTTTCTGGACCGAGTGCCCAAAGTGCACACGCATGTACGTGTGTGTGTGAATGCGCGCGTGTGTGCCCAGACCAAAATGCAACGTGCACATGGGCCCTCCCCCTGCACATGCACGTGTGACCCACACACACACCCTCCACCCCCCCACTCATGCGCGGCAGAGGCCCAAAGACCAGCTGGGCACCGGGAGGCACATGCGCAGCAAAGCTGAACTGGGGCGACAGCTCGCATGCCCACACAGAGAGGGCGCTGCCATAGGTTTGCCATCACGGCTCTAGAAAGTGCAGAGAAGAGCAACAAAGATGATAAAGGGTCTAGGGACCAAATTGTATGATGAACAGCTACAGAAACTAGGCAAGAGAAGAGAAGGTCAATTTATTTTCTATAGCACCTCAAGGCAGGACAAGAAGCAATGAGCAGAAGCTTGTCACAAGGAGATCCTGCTTAGATCTCAAGGAGAAATGTCCTGAAACGGAAAACAATTAATGCCAGAGCTTGCCTTCTGTAGTTGTGGGTGCTTCATCACTTGTGGCTTTTAAGAAGAGATTGGACAGGATGGTATAAGGACTTCTGCCTTTGCGCAAGGAGGTGGACTTGGAATTGCTCCAAAGTACCTTTCAGCTCTATGATTCTGTGGACCTAGTGTAATGGAGAATTTTCTGGGGACTAAGGAATCTTACTAGTTTGAAAAAGGCAAAGTCTTGTTGGAATTGAGCTCGGCTTTATGCATTTTTCCATGTTTATTATTTTGGCATGAATATGTCAATTGATTATTTTAGTAAAGGTAAAGGTTCCCCTCGCACATGCGTGCTAGTCGTTCCCGACTCTAGGGGGTGGTGCTCATCTCCGTTACAAAGCCGGAGAGCCAGCGCTGTCCAAAGACGTCTCCGTGGTCATGTGTCCGGCATGACTAAACGCCAAAGGCGCACGGAATGTCCCACCAAAGGTAGTCCCTATTTTTCTACTTGCATTTTTTTACGTGCTTTCGAACTGCTAGGTTGGCAGAAGCTGGGACAAGTAACGGGAGCTCACCCCGTTACGCGGCACTAGGGATTCGAACCGCTGAACTGCCGACCTTTCGATTAGCCAATGAGCCACCACGTCCCCTGATTATTTTGGTATGAACATACAAATGGTTTACTTTTGTGTTTCTCCTGGATTTTTAAAATCTTTCTAATATAGCCTACAGGCTTAGGATTTTCTCATGGTCTCCTTTCCAAATACTGATCATGTATAGTAGCTGTAATAGTTAAAGGCACTAGGCTAGACCAGAGACCATGTGAGTTTTAGTCCTGCCTTAGGCACAAAGCCAACAAAACCTCTCAGTGGATTTATCTACAAAGAGCAATTTATATAATAATATGGAACCTGAGTATCACTAATCACAAAATGTTGCAAACTAAAAAGAAAAGCCTTTACTTGTATGTACGAAAGAGAAAGGACAGGTCATAATAACATACCATAGGCATTCCCATAGTTTTTGCAAGTGGAGTATGTCATAAGAAGAGACATTGGCTTGTAATTAAAAACTTGGATTGAAAGAATCTGAAACCAGTATTAGAAATGGAAAGTTGTTTCTCTGGTATTCTTTAATAATAAGTCTGAGAGTTTTGTTGTGTGCGCAATAAAAAGACGTTATCCCTTTAAATTCAGGAACTTCAGACTGTTTTTTGTGCATATTTTTAACCTTATCTACATGAACAACATCCTGGCATTCTTCCTGATGCTGGGCAGCAAAGCATGAATATGCAATACACAGTTTTTGTGTTTCTATCTGTGATGCTACTACGAGGGCTTTGCTTTCCCTGGTTCATCAGATCGTTTTATGGATTGGTTGCTGTTTAAAGTACTGAAAGGAGAATGTTAGAGTATGTCTATATTCTCTATAAGAATATGTCTTACTCTGAAGGGATCTAAATATCTTTTTCAATGCTTTTTAAGAGTAAGCACCAGAAATAATATAGAAAAGGAAGGAAGCACTGAGGTAGCCAGGTTGAAGATGGCATCAAATATTTCAGGGTAGCCTTAAAAAAAAAAAAACAGATAATGATCTCCCCCAATGAAGAACACATGCATTTGAAAAGCAGAGATGATTTAGGGTTGGAACTAGGGGTGAAATCCAGCAGGTTCTGAAGAACTGGTAGCGGAAATTTTGAATAGTTCGGAAAACCGGCAAATACCACCTCTGGCTGGACCCAGAGTGGAGTGGGATTTTGCAATATCCTTCCCCCAGGAATGGGGAGGGAATGTGGATTTTGCAGTATCCTTCCCCAGGAGTGGGGAGGGAATGGGGATTTTGCAGTATCTTTCCTCTGCCATGCCCAGCAAGCCACGGCCACCAAGCCACACCGCGCCCACAGAACCGGTAGTAAAAAAAATTGGAATTCACCACTGGTTAGAACTATAAAAAGTGGAGCAAAGAAATAATTTCATAATTGAAATTATGAACCGTTGAAGTCTGAACCCGGCCCTAAAGGAAAATTAGGGACGTGGATAGCTAAATGAAACTTTTGGCCCAGGAGTTGGCTTACTATGAACAAAGGAAAATTCCCATTGGAGATCACAAGGAAAGGAATGTAAATACAATTCTCAGAATCTTCTTGCTCTCATACAAGTCTGTGGTAATCAGAATGAGGTGTACCTTTACAGTGAGCAAAGTTTATTGTGCACCTGGGAACAAGGGAAAGACCGAAAGGGGCAATAAAGAGGATTTTTCACTTAGGATTAATTACTATGCATACTGTGAATGAAAGGTGATAGATAAGCCCTTACACAATGACTAAGATGAAAATAACATAACATAACATAATGTCAGGAGGCTTTGGGATACAGGAGTACCTTGGTACTCAACTGCTTTCAAACTCATCAAATTTGGTACTCAACGCATTTTAATGTGGAAAATTTTGTCTTGGTATTCGTCACTTGTTTGGTACTCAACGCACAAGCTAGAACTTGTAGGTGTCGGCTGCCTTGTGACTCACTATAGGAAAAAATTGTTTGGTACTCATCATTTTTTTTGTACTCATTGCACTTCCCGTAATCAATTGATGAGGAATGCCGAAGTACCACTCTACTTTTAATCGCCATGATAATGATTTAGGCCAGGGGTCTGCAACCTTAAATACTCAAAGAGCCATTTGGACCCATTTCCCACAGAAAAGAAAACACCGGGAGCCACAAAACCTGAGTTGGCGTGGCCACCTCGATGTCACTCACTTCCACCAGCCACATGACCCCCCTAGCCATGCCTACCCAGCCAGTCATTAGGGCAGTGAACTAGTTGTTAAAAAAAACACCAGGAACCACAAAATCCTTTTGACATATTTCTATCTCCCCTCCCTTCCTCTCTCCCCCGCTCTGTATCTCTCCGTCTCTGCCCTGGCCGCTTCTCCGTCCCCCGCCATCGCCCTTACCTTCTCAGGCCAGGCGAGGAGTGACTGGGAGGGGAGGGCGAGGGATGGGGCCAGCCAGTGGTGGGATCACCTGAAAGGGAGCCACAGCAGAGGGCCCAAAGAGCCGCATGCGGCTCCGGAGCCGCAGGTTGCTGACCCCTGATTTAGGCACAGAGAGGGTGATTGGAAAGAAACAGCTAACATTTTTCTCCCTGGAAACTGAGCCACTTGAAAATTCTGTTGGATTTAAATACAAGTATGACCTCCATATATATATATATATTGGATCATTCTTTGAAAAAAATGGTGGACATTTCTATACCTGAGTTGTGCATCAGAAAAGAGGATTTTTCATAAGTAGTAAAATTTAAATCTCTAGGACTATTTTCAAGGGGGAAAAAAACCCTGGGGTACTGCAGCTTTATTTGAACAATTGTGCCCTCTTCTGGTGTGCTTTGTGTAGGATTGCAATTTGCCAGGTTTTCTAACTCTGCAAATCGCTTGAAATCATTTTTAAAACTGTTCCATCTTTGTCCCGTTGCAGAAAAAGTACAGAAAAGGATCGGTTGACATTTCCAAAATCAAATGTGTTGAGACGGTGAAGAATGAGGATATTGTTATACCTTGTCAAAATAAATATCCATTTCAGGTAAACTGTGAAATCTGGTTTGCTGCATTTCAACCAACATGGACATATTTGTCTGGCAGACACTCTGGACCTGCCACCCTTAACCTGATACACTCCGAGAGGTTTAGATTATAACTAAATTTCCCACTGTTAGCCAAGTTAACTACTTTGAAGAGCAAACATGTATTTCCTTTCAGTGAGCACATAAATGATTTTATTTGGAAAATCTCTAAAGCAAGACACTGCTGGTATAATCTGTAGGCAGGTCTGATTACTTTCTTGTGCTTTTTCTCTCTCCTATTTCCATGCAATTTCCCCTCCTCCCACCTTTCTTCTTTCTATTGCTATTGATTGGCATGAACTAAAACTGCATGAACAGTTCCAGATGTTCACCCAAAAGCTTCTGACATGTCTTAGGACTTCCCCCTTCCTGTTACAACTCTTGATAACACTCTCTGGCTTTGACTCTTAAGTTGTGTCAGTGATGGGATTCTACCAGTTCAGCAAAACCGGTAGTTCCCACTTCCTGCCAAGAACGACCGGTTCTCTGCTGCTGTGAAAGTGGGGCTTCCCTCCCTCCCCCGGGTTATACTGATCCTTATTTCTGCTTCTGAAGCCCAGCTTATCAGGGGCGGCAGGTTGAATTGGCCTTCCTCAGCTGTTTTCCTTGCTCCTTTCCTTGTTTGCAACGCGGGAGTTCAATTATATGGAAACAGCGCATGCATCCGCAGCGAACCGGTTGATCCCACCCCTGAGTTGTGAGTTCTAATAAGCAGTGTACATTTAGATTAAAGTAAAACTTACTTTAAGTTGAATTCAACCATGCAATCTTCATGAAGTTGTTTTTATTGCCTTCTTTTGAGAAGTTTTTCTACTTCTCAGCCTAGCCTACAGCATCGGTAGCCCATAGAGTCTTGCATCCAATTCCTAACCAGACTGGAACTTGCATTGCTTCCATACCCAGCCAAAGGTGAGGCAGAAGTTGTGATTTGCGGAGGCAAAGAGTATATGTGCAAGTGGGAATATGCAAATCTGACATTAAAAGTATGACAAGAAGAAGACACTTGTGCCTTCAAGTCAGTCTTGACTTCTGGCAAGCACTGGACAAGACATGACTGTTTTCCTAGGGCTGAGATAGAGTAACTGGCATTCACTCAGCTGGATTGGTGCCTATGGTTGATTTTTCCTAGATTCCAAATATTGAAATTTATTTAAAAGAAACAACAAAAAGAATTATATACAGATAATAATGATTTAGTTATGTGAGCCATGGTGGCGCAGTGGTTAGAATGCAGTACTGCAGGCTACTTCTGCTGACTGCCAGCTGCCTGCAGTTTGGCAGTTCGATTTTCACCAGCTCAAGGTTGACTCAGCCTTCCTTCCTTCCAAGGTCGGTAAAATGAGGACCCAATTTGTTGGAGGCAATATGCTGACTCTACAAACCCCTTAGAGAAGGCTGTAAAGCACTGTGAAGCGGCATCAGTGGTGGGTTGATATTGGCTCTACCCGGATCGGCGAACCGGTAGCAGCGGCGGGAGGCTCCGCCTACCTGTGCCGGATGTGTGCGCGCGCACGAGCGAATCAGTAGCAACGGGTTTTGCAACCCACTACTGAGCGGCATATAAGTCTAAGTGCTATTGCTACATATTTGTACTTTTGTTGTAAAACCTAACTTTCCGCCCTGCAAACCCTTCAAGGAAGTTAACATTAAAAAAAAAAAAATAGCTAAATAGCTTCATTTGTATAAACCCTCATTCAATCCATTGCTTATATCATGTATTAATTTAGCAATTATTGAGGAATAATTAATTGTAATAATTAAGGAACAATTAGTGATAATAGCTGCAGAGGCAAAACGTCTGTGGTAGTAATATTTGGTTTTTTTCTTTCTTGCAGGTTGTCTACGATAGTAGCACCCTTTATATTTTTGCCCCCACTGCCTATAGTAGGGATCAGTGGGTGAGAAATTTAAAAGAAGGTAATTGCAATTCTTGAAAACATACATCTGTAAGTGAAGAGTATGAAAGTAATTTAACAAACAATTTCCCCCTTCATTTGCCTATTTGTTTAATTTTTTTTTTAGTCAGGAAACAATTCCTTGCCATCTTTACTCTTCATTTTTCTCTATTATTGTCTCTCTTTTTTTTTTTTCATTTTTAATGTTTTTATTCGTGACCACCCAAAAGTCGCTGGTAGTCAGGCAGCATATTAATAAGATAAACAGCATCTGCCTATTCCAGATCCTTGGTAGGTGGACAAAAATGCCAAATCCAGTCTAAACATCTGGGTGACTGTGCGATGAACGTTATTAGAATAGAATAGAATAGAATAGAATAGAATAGAATAGAATAGAATAGAATAGAATAGAATAGAATAGAATTTTATTGGCCAAGTGTGATTGGACACACAAGGAATTTGTCTTTGGTGCATACGCTTCTCAGTGTACATAAAAGAAAAGATACGGTCATCAAGAATCATAAGGTACAACACTTAATGATAGTCATAGGGTACAAATAAGCCAGTGTTTTCCAAACTTGACCCTTTGAAGATGTATGGACTTCAACTCCCAGAATTCCTCAACCAGACATACTGGTTGGGGAATTCTGGGAATTGAAGTCCATGCATCTTAAAATAGCCAAGTTTGGGAAACACTGAAATAAGCAATCAGATCATATTGGGAAACAGTCAATATAAATTGTAAGAATACAAGCAACAAAGTTACAGTCATAAGTGGGAGGAGATGGGTGATAGGAACAATGAGAAGAGTAATAGTAGTGCAGACTTAGTGAATAATTTGAGAGTGTTGAGGGAATTATTTGTTTAGCAGAATGATGGCGTTCGGGAAAAAACTGTCCTTGTGTCTAGTTGTTCTGGTGTGCAGTGCTCCATAGCATCGTTTTGAGGGTAGGAGTTGAAACAGTTTATATCCAGGATGCGAGGGTTCTATAACTATTTTCCCAGCCCTCTTTTTGACTCGTGCAGTATACAGGTCCTCAATGGAAGGCAGGTTGGTAGCCATTGTTTTTTTCTGCAGTTCTAATTATCCTCTGAAGTCTGTGTCTGTCTTGTTGGGTTGCAGAACCAAACCAGACAGTTATAGAGGTGCAGATGAGAGACTCAATAGTTCCTCTGTAGAACTGTATCAGCAACTCCTTGGATTGAACCTTATTATTATGGTTGATCACACAATCACCAGATGTTTAGACTAGATTTGGCACGTTCGCCCACCTATTGAGTCCATCCCAACGACCTAAGAATGGCAAATGTTATTATTTAATAATATTAAGGGTATTATTGCGGGATGTAAGTTTACTATTGTTATTATTTCCTTATTGCTTTGGATGAAAAAGTTATGCCTTGGGAGGAGAGACAAGGAAAGAACCATCAGGATGGATTCAATATATTATTATTTTTTTGCCACAAATTCTTATGTGGGAAATGTGGTATTTCTCTGGTCACAGAAACAATGAATGCTAGCCTGAGTACAGATTGTTGGCGTTTACCTGAAAAAAATCTGTAATGCTGTCAGCTAGAGAATACATTTACCTTATAACTATGATCTTTCCTACTTTAAAAAAATAACATTTTAAACCTCCCCCATGTTATGGGCATATAATTATTACAGAAGGTATTTCTTTTCAAAGAGCTCAGCACGACTCTAAGCTCCCCATATATTTCATAATTAAGTAGAAATAGAAAAAACTTCTTGGCTGCCTAAGCGCTCTTAAAATATAAATGGGGGTCATCCCATGGAGATTTTGCACTATCCTTCCCTTGCCACGCCCACCAAGTCATCCACTGGGTCATCCCTGAGCCTATTCTGATGATTTTTTTTATAATTTGCCTATGGAGATCCTCCAGTGGTAAAATCCAATTTTTTTTACTACCGGTTCAGTGGGCGTGGCATGCTGGGCGTGTCAGGGGAAGGATATTGCAAAATCTCCATTCCCTCCCCACTCCAGGGGAAGAATACTGCAAAATCCCCATTCCCTCCCACTCCTAGGGGAAGGATATTGCAAAATCTCCATTCCCACCCTACTCTGGAGCCAGCCAGAGGTGGTATTTGCCGGTCTCCGAACTACTCAAAATTTCTACTACCGGTTCTCCAGAACCTGCTGGGTTTCACCCCTGAGATCCTCGATCATCCAGGTTATGGTTGTCCCAAAGGTGTTTTTTTCCAAAAGGCAACTGGACTTTCTCAGTTTTGACACTTTACATTTCTTGGTTCTTAATGTAAATATGTAAATAATATCAATTTATTGGCATTCTTATTGATAATATTTGGATTGTTGTAAGTTGAGGTACTATGTAACCTTTTTTGGATTCAAATATTTACTACAGTAAAACTAAATGAGACATAATAATTTTAAATGTGTCTGTTTTTAACTTTTCCTTTCTGTTTTTAGAAATAAAGAGTAATAATAATATAATGGTTAAGTATCATCCTAAATTCTGGACAGATGGAATCTATCAATGTTGCCGGCAGACTGAAAAAATGGCACCTGGCTGTGAAAAGTATAATCTCTTTGAAAATGGTAAGTGCCCTGCTACCTTATATTTTCATAAATGCACCTTTTTTATCCTTACTAATGAGTATGGTTGCTGTTATGTGATTCATCAAATAATTTAATTGGTGCATTGCACACTGCTGCGGGCCCATTTAACTTTTGATTTGCAATTTATGAGAAAATTATATATTTGGCTAATTGGAAAACGTCACCTTATCTTCTCCTTCAGGAAAAAAATTCTTGAACCCTCTTGATCAACACTGAATGCTTAGAATTGTTTTAAAAATAAGATCTGATGAATTCAGGATAGGTAATAATTGTTGGTTCTTTTTTATATATTTTCTTGTGTGATTTGTTTTCCTTTTTGTATGGTAAATTGTTCATTTTTATTTTATTATACGCTATTTTATGTTTGTTTAAAAATGGATTGATAACTGGAAAAAAATTGCTCAGGCAGGATTAGGGTTAGGTAATTGTGTCAGAATTCCTTCCTTTCTTCCTTCCTTCCTTCCTTCCTCCCATTCTTGTGTATATTTATTTTCATATTTTTTCTTCATCTTTATGGATATATTTACACTTCAGTATCCCAACAGATTGATGATTGAATTTTAATATTGATAATAAAGAATAGCATCAGAATAAGCACGCAGTTCATATGTCATCACATTACTCTGGGGAATTCATTCAGTTTCATTATTTTCTGTCCTGAAGTACTTCCCAGAATATTAGTTTTAGGATAGCAGTAAACCGTATAATATAGTCTTTATTTTAACATTAACAGAAACATAGAGGTTACCAGCAAAACTTAAAAACAGCTGTACAGTAAAAGGCATTTTTTTTAATATTCAATAATCTTTTAATGGATACGTGTCAATTTACACAGTTTTATTTTCTCTTGCTTTTTTAAAGGAATTAAAGCTCTACCTTCATCAATGACAGATAAACATAAGGTAAGAATAAAATTCAGCACACTAAACAAAAATAGCAGGGGGTGGAATTGTATTTAGTTTGGGATTTAGTTTGGGAATTCTGATAAAGTTATAGACTATATAATGGCTAAATTAAATCGATAGCTGTTTAAAAATCAAAGCTTAATTTATTCGTCTGCAAAATGGAACTTTTAACTATTATGGTAGAGACAATTTTTCCCACCAATTTCATATGTGTCTAAATCATTATCTTCAAAATCTGTTGCTACCTAAATCGTACAAAAGCTACATAAATCATACATAAATCAAAGATTGAAATGTATGCATCCTGAGTGGGCTAGTGGTCTCCTCTAATCACAGTGCATGAGGGGTGGGGGAGGCTGAGGCACAAAGTATTATTTTTCACCGCTTGTCTCCACGTTGGGGGATAGGCTGCCTATGGACCTCAGATACTGTATGTCCCCTGCATATTTTATTTTATTTTATTTTATTTTATTTTATTTTATTTTATTTTATTTTATTTTATTTTATTTTATTTTATTTTATTTTATTTTATTTTATTTTGCTTTCGCTTTCACTTTCACTTTCAGCTTTACTTTTACTTTTACTTTCACTTTCACTTTATTTTACTTTACTTTACTTTATTTTTCCCCCATCCCACCAAAAGTGGATGGTGCAGAACAAAACTAAAACAGTGGATAAATACATAAAATCACTTATCGTAATTATTATAAAAACATTTTAAAACTATAAAAACAAAGCAAAACAGAGATATTACAGACAAAAGATTACAGACAAAAGGATGGTAATCATAACAACCTCAAAAGTTCACTATGCATCTTCCGTAAACTGCTAAAAATTGAATTTCTTTCAAAGATGATTGAGATGTTACTTGATTGAGATGATAACGATTGATAAATTGATGTTTTTATTGTTATTTCTTGATTAACAGCTTTTAGGTAATTACTGTGGATTTTTTTATTGCATAGTGTTGAGAACTGCAGAGTGTCTTTTTAACTATGGCAGGCAGAAATTGGATGGATGGCTAGATAGGCAGATAAATAGATATGGAATAGAAGTTCATATTTTAACTTTTCATCAACATGGGAATTTTTTAGGAGGAGCTACTTGTTTGAGCCAATTTATGTGTGCAAAAGAACAAAAATGGCTCTAACAGACTTGTTTCCATTGATTTGTTCATTCTCTTGGCATTTAGTCATCATAATCTTCTAAAAGTATGCTATGACATTTTTTTGCAACATCAAACTACTTAATTTGGAGTCACCTTGGTAAGGAAAACATTAAAAGTTTTTTTTTCTCCTACTCATTAGTGTCTCCTTGTAGTTTCTGCTCTCTAATGAGTTTTTAGCAGCTCTCCACTATTCTCCTCCAGGCTGCCTGACTGGGAATTGAGCTTCACAGAGAGTAAATTTGCATGTGTGTGTAAATTCCTACAGCCCACTTTCTTTCTTTCTTTTTCTCGTTCATTCATGTTAGCTCGAGAAAAACAAGTTTAGGAACTAGCAATAACGTGTAGTTACACCCTAATAATTGAGCACCCTAAGATGGACAAGCCTCTAACTATGATACCTGTAGTAGTCACCATTATTCACAGGCATATGGTATATATGTCCGCAAGTTTCACTCAGGGTTACACTGTACTAAATGCAAGGTTAATAATCAGTTCTTTCAACCCATAAAAAGCAATATCGATATGGTCTCATTGACTCTAATGAGGATATTAATCCGTCCTCCCCATTTCCCCCCAAAATGAATGAAATTTGGAGTTATTGAACTCCATTCTTACAGGATAAAGACAGGGGTGGGTTCTACTTACCTTTACTACTGGTTTGCAAAGGGGCTGCGCCGCACTCTCACTTCGCTCTCTCGTGCGCTTCTGCGCATGCTAGAAGCATGCTTCCTGATGACGTTGGGGTCGGTGGGCGGAGCCTCCCACTGGGTTTACTACCGGTTCTATAGAACCGGTCCAAACCAGGGGCAACCCACCACTGGATAAAGATTACCTAAACTTCTCTCAAATAAATTTGGGATGGGGTTGGGTTGTGCCATGTGATTTTTAAATAGCTGATACAAATAACGTGTGCGTATGTATATAATAGATATATAACAATTTGAATGAAGTTTTCAGGCCTGCCTTTCCGAGAATATGTGTTATTAAATTCCAGATAATATATTTGGATTTTTCTTTGTCCCAGGGATTCTTTAGAGAAGACGATATTTGATTGTTTTTCATACATTTTGGGGCACATTTGCATCATGGAAGGATTAACAAGTAAATAACCTTCTTAGTGTTGGAGAGATAATAATTAAAGCTAGTTTGCTTTTCTTTTTGTTTTCTGTTCAAGTAACACCTATAAGTTTTCCAGAACCCTGTATTTGGTAGTAAAATGGAGGGTTCTGAATCCAGGATTAATTTGCAGCCTTAATTTTTTTTACTGTATTACCTTTTAGCAGTTTCCTTCATCATAAACACAAGCTCATTTTTAATTTTTTAAATGTACCTGGGTTCAAATTGTTAAAGTTTGGTCATTGTTCGTTCCATGAGCGACGGGGCGCTCCCATGTGACACCCCTCCTGCGCGAGCTGCATTGGCTTCCGGTGGTCTTCCGTGCGCTTCAAGGTGTTGGTTACTACCTTTAAAGCGCTCCATGGCTTAGGGCCTGGGTACTTACGGGACCGCCTTCTGCCACCGATAGCCTCCCACCGGCCAGTACGCTCCCACAGAGAGGGACTCCTCAGGGTGCCGTCGGCCAGACAATGTCGGCTGGTGACCCCCAGGGGGAGGGCCTTCTCTGTGGCAGCACCTGTTCTCTGGAACGACCTGCCCCTGGAGATACGTAGGATCCCAGATCTCCGTGCTTTTCACCGTGTCCTTAAAACTTTTTTATTTCATCAAGCCAGGCTGGCTTAACCCCACCCCCCCTTTAGATATTTTTAATTGTTAATTGATTTTAGTTGGGGTGTTTTAAATTTATTGGGGTAAAATTTGTTTAATTCTTTTTTTAAAAAAATAAATTTTGTATGCGATGTTTTTAGTCTTGGCTGTTCACCGTCCTGAGTCCAGTGGGAGAAGGGTGGTATAAAAATCTAATAAAATAAAATAAATAATAAATAATAGTAAATAGGATAACTTAACTGTACTTGAATAGGTTGGTTGCTTGCATTTTTAATTGTCCTCCTAGAGTATAATTTTGTGTGAAGTATCTTATTCTGCTTCATTGAGAATAACCATTTGGAAAATAGAGGCATCCCAAAGAATTATCTTAGTAATTAGAATTATCAGAATGTTTCAATCAATAACAGATGATAACTTTTTAAGTTTCAGAGAAGGCCCCCACCTCCTGTTCCTCTAGAAGAAGAAGAGGAAGAAGAAGAAATGGTAATAGCTATGTATGACTTTGAGCCCACGGAAGTTCATGATTTGAGATTAGAAAGAGGTCAAGAATATATCATAATTGAAAAAAACGACATCCATTGGTGGAAAGCAAAAGATAAATACGGGTAAGGAAGGCAATTATCTAGTTTAATTTTAAGTATAGGCAGAAATAGTTTACATATTATATACAATATGCATATATGCATTACGACTGTCTTTGCTAATATTTTATTGTGATTTTCATACCTCTATAGCAGTGATAGTTAACCTTTTTGGTGCTGAGTGCTCAAAGCACTCGTGTGCGCGCGAATCCACGCATGCATGCCTAAACCCCCAAGATACTTGTGAGCGCCCCCCCTCACATGTGTGTGCATTCCCCATGCATGCCCCCTGCTCCCCCGTCGCATGCGCCCTGCCCCCCATTTTGGCTTCCAGGTTGGTGCAGGATGCATTCCAGGCCCAAAATGGGGCACAGGAGGACTTCACGCAGTGCCCCCACACCCAGTTTTGCCTTCCACGTTGGTGCAGGAGGCTTTCCAGGCCCAAAATGGGGTGCAGGGGACCTTGCTTTGTGACGCCACTTAAGTGGATCACTGTAGTTAAGTTAGTAGCACGGTTGTTAAGTGAATCTGGCATCCCCATTGACATTGCTTGTCAGACGGTCACAAAATGGGATCAGACACTGCAACAGTCATAAATATGAGTCACTTGCCAAGTGTCTGAATTTTGATCACATGATCATGGAAGTAGTGGGTTGCTCCCAGTTCGGTCCAGTTCTATAGAACTGGTAGTAAAACCGGCGGGAGGCTCCACCCACCTGCCATGACATAATCATGGGTGATCTGCGCATGCGCACTCCCGCTGCGAACCAGTAGTTAAGGTACTGGATCACGGGGATGTTGCAATGGTCATAGGTATGAAAATCATAAGTGAGTTTTTTCAGTGCCTTTGTAACTCTGAACAGTCACTAAACGGACTGTCATAAGTCAAGGACTATAACCCTGTATTGTTCCTTTTTATCACTCTAGAAACCAAGGCTATATTCCAAGCAATTACGTAACAGGAAAGAAGTCCAACAGTCTGGAGCAGTATGAGTAAGTCAATATTTATATAGCAAATGTGATTTTATATATTTTGACCATTTCATGGGAAACAGCCGGTGAATCAAATATGTGGTGATATCCCATTGAGACCCTGCGTCTCCAGAAAGATGCTTAAGAGCCATTCCTGACCAATTCTGGGGCTCCCTGTGATATTACAGAAGATAGGAGAACCCACCATTCTTAACACCAAGACCTCGGTGCCTTCCGCCATGCCCTTAAAACCTTCTTTTTCCAGCAAGCCAGGCTGGCCTAACACTTTTTTAAATGTTTTTAATTGTTTGTTATTGTTTTTAATCATGGGGCCAAATTTATATATATCTTTTTAATTGTATTTTAATGTTTGTAGTTTATGCTTTTACTTGGCTGTTCACCGCCCTGAGTCCTCAGGGAGAAGGGCAGTATACAAATTTAAAAATAAATAAAATAAAATAAATAAACATATGAGCCAGGTTCTCTCAAGGATTTTGTCATAGCCAAGTATAAACTGTCTCATTAAGATTCAGCAGTAAGCTGTCTTTTGAACTGCCTATTAATTTATTTTATTTCATGTACTCTTATAGTTTGGCTTTATCATCAATGGTTTTATTGACTCTTTTTATTAAATATTGAAGCAAAAGAGAGAGGTCACGATGGAGGCGTAAATACACACACAGAGAGACAGACACACGGTGTAGATAAAGTGGACATGGAGACACTATTTTCCTCTTCCCAAAAAATACTAGAATAGAATAGAATAGAATAGAATAGAATAGAATAGAATAGAATAGAATAGAATAGAATAGAATAGAATAGAATAGAATAGAATAGAATTCTTTATTGGCCAAATGTGATTGGACCCACAAGGAATTTGTCTTGGTGCACACGCTCTCAGTGTACGTAAAAGAAAAGATACGTTCGTCAAGAATCATAAGGTACAACACTTAATGATAGTCATAGGGAAACAGTCAATATAAATCTTAAGGATACCAGCAGCAAGGTTACAGTCATATAGTCATAAGTGGGAGAAGCAGAGGTCATCCAATAAAATTGAATCCTAGAAGGATCACAAGAAATAAAAGGATTTAAAAAAAAAATGAAATGCATAATTTGGAATTTGCTTCCATGAGAGATAGTGCTGGCTACCACTTTGGCTGGCTTCCAAAAAAGAGTTGGACCAACTCATAGAAATCATAGGGGTATATTTTGGAACCTAAGCAATCAGACCCATAGAATGTTCCAACTTCAATGCCAGAAAAGTGCTTTGAAGTATGCAGAACATGAATGTGGCACCTGCCCAGAACTCTTTAAAGCAGCCACCTTTTTCCTGAGACAGTGATTATTTTCTGCAGCTGCACCATGGAAAAAGATGCGTTTGTAGGTGCAGACAGGTGCAACCTCGTGTGCTTTGAAAAATGTATTTTGCTTTCAAATCTAAAGACCTAGTAAAGAGGCACATACATGCAAAGGTAGCACTTACATATAATATGCTAAACTTCTACTGGTTTCTTCTTTAGGTGGTACTGCAGAAATCTGAACAGAAGTCAGGCGGAGCAACTTCTCAGAAATGAGGTAGGCTTACCATTATTTTAATAAAATAAAAGGGGGAAAAAGACTGACATTGCCATAGGTGTATACTACAGGCCACCCAATCAAATAGAAGAAATAGATGAATTTTTTGCTAGTCAGTTAACTAAGATTTGTAAAGAAGCACTCACAATAGAAATGGGGGACTTTAACTACCCTGACATCATCTGGGAGACAAACTCTGCACCTAGTGGAAGATCAAATGGATTCCTGACAAATTTAGCTGACAATTTTGTCTTCCAAAAAGATAGAGAAGCAACTAAAGGGTCAACCATACTGGACCTAATTCTCACTAACAGAAATTAAATGATAGAAGGCATTGAAGTTGCAGGAACGATTTGGAGGAGTGACCATGCAATATTGCAATTGAACCTTATGCAAGCAAAAGCAATAGAACAAAATCAAACTAGAGTCTTGGACTTTAAGGGAGCTAATTTCTTGGGGAAGATTCCATGGATGAAAATCCTCAAGGGGGAAACAACCCAAGAAGCTTGGGAAACTTTGAAAAGAGATATATAAAAGCCCAGTCTAGCACAATTCCAGTGAAGAAGAAAAATAGATCTCTAAAGAAACCAGCACAAGGAACTCTGTGATAAACTGAAAGACAAAAAGGACAAATATAAAAACTGAAAAGAGGGGCAGATAATTAGGGCAGAAAAAATCAGCGAATAGCCTGAACCTGCAAAGATGAAGTCAGGAAAGCTAAGGCTCAAAATGAGCTAAAGGTTGCAGGGTGGACTTGATTTAAATCGAGTTGATTTAAATCACAATTTAAATCATGATTTAAATCACTAGTAAAAAGGCTTGTTTAAATCAACTCGATTTAAATCATAATTTTTAAAGAGCAACTGTCATCTCTGCTACTCCTTTGACCCACTGTTGACTCACCGATAGTCCCAGTGTTGCAGAATATACAGCCTCGTGCTACATAACTAAGCTCCATTTCATGCTGAATAAACTAAATTATTTATGTATCTTAAATAGAAAACTATCTTACGATAGATTTTTACCCCAAAAGTTTTTTATTAAAATAAATTTGATAAAAATCAAAAAAATCTGATTTAAATTAAAAAAAACTGATTTTTTTGATTTTTTTAAAAAAATCATTGATTTTTATCCACCCTGAAAGGTTGTGACAAAAGTAAAAAAATAACAAAAAAAAGCTTCTTGCAAAATGTAAAAAACAAGAAAAAAGTCAAGGTCCTGTCTTAGGCCCAGTACTCTTCAATATCTTAATCAATGATTCTGGTGAGAGGATAGAAGGGGGACTCATCAAATTTACAGGCGACATCAACTGGCAGGAATAGCCAGCTAGCCTATCCAGAAGATAGGCTAAAGATACAGCAGGATCTCGACAGATTGAACACTGGGCCCTATCTAACAAAATGAAATTCAGTGGTGAGAAAAGTAAGGTTTTATATTTATGCCAGGAAAACCAAATGCACAAGCATTTGGTAGTACCTGCCTCAGTAGTAGTAACTGTGAGAAGATCTTGGAGTCCTAGTGGCCAATTATTTAAATATGAGCCAGCAGTCTGCTGCAGCTGCAAAAAAAAGCCAACACAGTTCTAGGCTGCATAAACAGAGGAATAGAATCAAGATCGTGTGAAGTGTTAATACCACTTTATAATGCCTTGGGAAGACCACACTTGGAATACTGCATCCAGTTTTGGTCGCCACAATATAAAAAAAAAGATGTTGAGATTCTAGAAAGAGTGCAGAGAAGAGCAAGAAAGATAATTAGGGGCCTGGAGCTAAAACATACGAAGAATGGTTTCAGGAATTGGATATGTCTACTCTAGTGAAAAGAAGGATCAGGGCTGACATGATAGCAGTGTTCCAATATTTGAGGGTTTGCCACAAAGAAGAGGGGTCAACCTATTGTCCAGAACAGCAGAAGGCAAGACAAAAAGCAATGAATGGAAACTAATCAAGGAGAGAACCAACCTAGAACTAAGGAGAAATTTCCTGACAGAACAATTAAACAGTGGGATGATTTGTCTCCAGAAGCTGTGAATGCTCCAACGCTGGAGGTTTTTAAGAAGAGACTGGACAGCCCTTTGTGTAAAATGGTATAGGATCTCCCCCTTGAGCAGGGGGTTGGACTAGAAGACCTCTGAGGTCCCTTCCAACTCTGTTATTCTACTCTGTTATTTTGTTCGATGCTTCTAAGTAAAATCCGATAACAAAATTGTTACCAAAGGCTCAGTGTTCATTAGAGCTAAGCAAAGCATTTGAAAGAGGAGCTTTGCAAAGTATGCTAAGAGTGTCCCAAGCGCCTCTTTTTGGAGCTTTAAAACAGCCGTGTCCTTTGGAAGATTCACAGAAGTACTTTGAGAGATATCCTTCAGTGAGTGTGTAACAACCAAATTTTAACTCTGATTTTTTTTTTTTAATTTCAAGAGTGTTCTAACGCTTCAAAGAGAGGTAGTTTGTTCCTGGTAGTATCTTTTTTTCCAGGAAAGAGCTTGTCAGGGCAGAGCTAGCATTTATCATGGTTAGAGTCAGTGATGGGATTCAGCTGGTTTGGGCCGGTTTGTGTGAACCGGTAGTTAAATTTCTGGCTGGCCCCGCCCATCCCCGCCCCATCCCTTCCAGGAGTCCCCACGCTCCCCATTTTGGCTCCCAGGTAAGTGCAGGGAGGCCTACTAGGCCCAAAACAGAGCGTGGGGGGGCAGCGCAACCCCCCACTCCCCCGTCGGCCCATTTTTGCTCCCAGGAGGCTGCAGGGCCCAAAATGGGGCACAGGGAGCGGCCCATTTTTGCTCCCAGGGGGGTGCAGGAGGCCGAGTGCTGCCTTTCACACACCCTTGGCCACGCCCACCCAACTGGTCATTAGGGCAGAAAACCAGTTGTTAAATAATTTGAATCCCACCACTGGTTTGAGTCCCTTGCAGTTGAAATGCCATAAGTAAATTGTGAATCTTGCAAATCATGCAACAAAGAATTTTGGTTGGTTTCTAATAAAAGTTTCATTTCTTTTTTTCTTGGATTTTAGGATAAAGAAGGGGGGTTTATGGTGAGGGACTCCAGTCAACCAGGTTTATATACAGTATCGCTTTATGCAAAATTTGGAGGGTAAGTTTCCGATCCCAGTGATGACAGCTACTTCTCCCTTCATCATTTTAAATATATTCTTACATGCTTACAGAGACACAGTCCTATAAAAAGGAAATCTTCTCTTGAGGCTCTAAGTAAGAGGACATCCATTTATTGAAACAGCAAATCAGATCAATTCAACTAAATAAAATGCCTGATTTTGATGTGACTGTTGCCACTACAGGCAGTTCTCAACTTACAACAATTCATTTAGTGACTGTTCAGCTTTACAACAGCGTTGAAAAAAAGTGGCTTATGATTGCTTTTCACACTTAACAATGGTTGCAGCAAGCCCATTGGTCATGTGATCAGAATTTAGACGCTTGGCAACTGACTCATATTTATGACGGTTGCGGTGTCCTGGGGTCATGTGATCCCTTTTGCGACCTTTTCACAAGCAAAGTCAACGGGGAAGCCGGATTCATTTAACAACTATGTTACTAACTTGGTAATGTAGTGATTCACTGCATTATCAACTGGCAAGAAAAGTCGTAAAATGGGGTAAACCTCACTTAACGAATGTCTTGCTTATTAACAGAAATTTTAGGCTCAACCGGAGTCGTAAATCGAGGACTACCTATATTAGACTCAAGTTGATAAACCTAATTCCTAAATTCTCAGCAACCAGGAACAAATATAAACAATTTGGAATGAATTAACTTTTCATACACACGTTCAATTTTCAATTTGCAAAAATTCCTTTCTTTTTTAATCCACATAGCTGCAATTACCTTGCTGGTGTTAAGGTTTATATATAAAGCTCTTCGACATTTTGAATTAACACTTTGTTGACTGCAGAAATGTGTAACTCCGTATTTTACATATTTTTTAATATATGAAATTTGCTTTTTTTGAGTTAGGGCATCCAAAGGTACAGTAATTAATACAGCAAAACAGAGGTGGGTTTCAGCAGGTTCTGACCAGTTCTAGAGAACTGGTAGCAGAAATTTTGAGTAGTTCGGAGAACCGGTAGTAAAAATTCTGACTGGCCCCGCCCCCATCTATTCTCTGCTTCCTGAGTCCCATCTGATCGGGAGGAAATGGGGATTTTGCAGTATCCTTCCCCTGGAGTGGGGTGGAAATGGAGATTTTACAGTAGCCTTCCCCTGCCACGCCCACCAAGCCATGCCACGCCCACAGAACCGGTAGTAAAAAAAATTTGAAACCCACCACTGCAGCAGAACCCAATCTATCTTGAGCTCTGTCCAAAATATCAATTAATAATTGTCAAATAGGCAGTGCTCATTTGTTTGTAATAAATCCAGACTAAATAATAAATGGTAAACATTGTATTATTGTAGGAGGAGAGAGATGTTAATTTATGTTAGCAAAAAAAATCAGGTCTCTGGTAGAAACTTTTCCTTCGCAGCTAGCAATTTTATTAAAAACGTAGCTTTTTAGAACTTCTGCTGAAAAGCAGCTGATGAAATAAGCTGTAGTTCACAAAAGTGTACCTTTTAATAAAATTGTTAATCAGATTCCTTCTGGTTTTTAATATACATCCTGCAAATTTTGTTCAGTCAACAAAATGGCTAATATATTAGAGTCTAGGTATTCAAGTTATGGCATTGGTTTTTCCAATGTATAATTAGTAGAGTTTTCTGGTAGAACCTCTTATTTGGAAATAATTTATATATACAGGTAGTCCTCGACTTATGACCACTATTGAGCCCAAAATTTCTATTGCTAAGCGAAACATTTGTTAAGTGAGTGTTGCCCCGTTTTAATAACCTTTCTTGCCACAGTTGTTAAGTGAACCACTGAGGTTGTTAACCATGTTAACAACATGGTTGTTAAGTGAATCTGGTTTCCCCATTGACTTCGCTGCTTGCAAAAGAAGATCACATGACTCTGGAACCGTCATAAATATGAGTCAGTTGCCAAGTGTCTGAATTTTGATCACGTAGTTTTAGGTTTGAAAAACGGTCATAAGTCACTTTTTCCATTGCTGTTGTAAGTCGAGGACTACCTCTATTCCTTACTGTTCTCATTTTGTCCTTAAAAATTATGTGTAAGAGAAGAATCAAATAGAACGATGGAGCAAGTTTTCAAAGATCTTAAAGAGATATACCTGCTACTTAATGTAGGCAGCAAATATTAAATCTTGCTTTGATCCCCTTTGCAGGTTTCAGAAATTATGTTAACATTCAAAACTCTGGACTCTGGACTATGTCCCAGTGAATTAATGGAAGATGTTTCTGAGTTGATTTGAATGTAACAAGGGGCATGCATATTTCCAAAACACTGTACTGTTTCTGAAAAGTCAAATTCATGTTTTCAATTGAAAAAATTCCAACTGCCCACATTTTCTTGTAGTTAAGATCACTGAAGTGCAAAGCATGTTCCTAAATAGACCCATATTGAATACTATAAAGGTAAAGGTTCCCCTCTCACATATGTGCTAGTCGTTTCCGACTCTAGGGGGCAGTGCTCATCTCCGTTTCAAAGCCGAAGAGCCAGCGCTGTCCGAAGACGTCTCCGTGGTCATGTGGCCAGCATGACTAAACGCCAAAGTTGCACGGAACGCTGTTACCTTCCCACCAAAGGTGGTCCCTATTTTTCTACTTGCATTTTTTACGTGCTTTCAAACTGTTAGGTTGGCAGAAGCTGGGAAAAGGAATGGGAGCTCACCCCATTACATGGCACTAGGGATTCGAACCACAGAACTGCCAACTTTTCAATCAACAAGCTCAGCGTCTTAGCCCCTGAGCTGAGTCCCTATGTTGAGTACTATAGATCTCCAAAATTAAATGAAATATTTTGCTAACTAGATAAGAGCATAAGTTTATTCAGCAAAAATTTTTGAGTGAAAACCTTTTAATTTCTACATTGTGCTTTTTAGAGAAGGCCTATCTGGCATAAGACACTACCATATAAAAGAAACAATGACATCACAGAAGCAATATTATTTGGCGGAAAAGCATCTGTTTGACTCTATTCCAGAGTTAATTGACTACCATAAACACAACTCTGCAGGTAAATGACCTTGAGTTTTCTATCCTTTTATTTGTACTTTTTGTCTCTAAACTATTAAATTTCAGCTCTTTTGAAGATGCTTAATGGTTTTAATATGGTTTAAGAAAATAAATTATTCAAATAATTCTGCATCACTCCTGCTTCAGTCATATATGATGCTTAGAAGTTCCAAATTTTTATAGAAAACTATTTAATTTGTCCTATATTTTGCAGGTTTCAAGCAGTAAAAAAACGCTAATTTTCCATGCTGCTGATAGCTATAAATTCTTATACTGAAATGTTTCTGAAAACTATCAAGAAAATGCTTTGTGCTTAAAGTTATTTCAAAGTACCATTTCCCCCCCGAAAATAAGACCCTGTGTTATATTTTTTTGAACCCTGAAATCAGCACTTGTTCTTATTGCCATGTGCTCAAAAGCCTGATTGGGCTTATTATCAGGGGATGTCTTATTTTGGGGGAAACAGGATATGTACGAATGATATAAGAAAAGAACATAGTTAACATTAAAACACCAGAAAGTATTGTTTGTCTTGCTTAATTTTTAAAGTAACTTATTCACCATATGAATTTTCTGTGAATCTTAGGGCTTGTGACGAGGCTACGATACCCAGTGACTCCAAAAGTGAAACCTTCACCAACTACTGCTGGATTCAGCTACGGTACATTTATGTTTCTGTATGAAAATATGACTGATTTTGTAGATTAACAAAGAACTGAAATAAATAAATAAATAAATAAATACATTTCCTCTCAACCAGAGGTGGTATTCAGCCGGCTTGTAGAGAACTGGTAGTGGTGATTGCGGGTGGGCCCCGCTCACCAGCCCCGGCGCAATGCTGCCCTATTTAGCCACGTTTTCGAAGCCAGGCGCATGCACAGAAGGTGCGCGTGCATGCAAAGCGCATGTGTGGAAAGCTTGGCGCATGCGCAAAAGACGTACATGCGCGGGGTGAACCAGTGGTAAGAATATTGGAAACCCACTGCTGCTCTCAACTATCTAATGGCTCAAGTCTCAACCATCTGAAGTGGTTTGCCATTGCTTCCTTCCTAGGGGCTGGGAGAAAGTGATTGGCCCAAGCGCACAAAGCACTAAAGTGGGACTAGAATTCATGGTCTCCCAGTTTGTAGACTGATGCCTTAATCACTATAGATTCTGAGCTATCAAAATACAGGAGGCAAAATAAGTTTCCGTGTCTCATTTGGGTGGGAAGAACGAGAGTGTTTCTTTAGGATGGCAAATTGGATTGCAAACTTATTTTCTAAGATTGCTTGGCAATGATTTGCCTGTATTTTTAAAAATAAAAAGCAACAGATACTTAGGATTGTACTGCTTCTGGCCTGTTCTATAAAATCCTGTACCCAGTCATCCATTAATCACCTTAATAATTGTTCTGTTTATACACAATCATGCTAGCTGGGTCAAAATCCATTATCCTCATCCATTTTCACCCAGAAGGTATTTAGTATCTCATGTTTTTACATTGGAAAGAGTTGGCAGGTTTTCATAATATTATTAGCCCCCAGCAGCGGTGAAATGCTACCGGTTCGGACCGGTTCTCCCGAACCGGTTGCAAAAAATGCTACTGGTTTGGGCAAACCTGTATTTCCTACGATCAGCTGGGTGATGATCAGCTGTGATGCACGATATTAGCTAGAATCGTCGGATTTCCTGCTTTCTAGCTAATCTAAATTGCGTGGCACAACAGATTCCCCCTCCTCACTGTTCTTACTTTTGCAGACTCGGAAGGCTTCAAAATGTTCCTTTTTTAGCGTTGTGCGGGCATGCCTCAAGTGCACATGAGTGCGCGAAGCTTGTGCTCGGTAGCAGACTAACAGAACCGGTAGCAGCCTTCAGAGGATTTCACTGCTGGCCGCCAGTGCCAGGCAGATAACAGTCAGTGTGCTTTAATCCCTGCAAACAATAAATTGTTGAGATGGCATTTACCCCTGGCGAGATTGGCCAAGATGTCTCCAAACTATCCACCGCACTGTTGGAAATGTAATTATTCACAAGGAACATACTACCACATGTGGTGGACATGTCCCAAAGCAAGAGAATATTGGCTTAAAATTAAAAAATGGTTGGAGGAAATGACTGGGAAAAAAATTGATATGAATCCTGAATTATTTTTGTTAGGGATTATAAAACAAAAAAATGACTAAAGAAATTTGATACCTCACACTCCACATAATTACGGCTGCTAGAATCTCATTTGTCCAAAACTGAAAACAACAACATGGTTCAACAAACACGATGATTATAAAAAAGGAGCTGGTGTGTGCAGAAGCAGACGAGTTAACGATGGAACTTAAGGACAGAGAGGAAACGATTTATTATGAAACATGGAACAGATGGTATGATTGGCTCGAAAAGGAATCTAAAATTAATGGATAGTGTATAGCAAAAGAGAAGATACTATAATGAAATGTTATATTTAATGTGTAGTAGGTGTATACATAAAATGTATTATATGAATAAGTATGTAACAAAAAAAATGTGTATGTATATAGTTGGATATTACTAAATTGGATATTACTAAAAATGCCGATATTGGAAAGCTGTGAAAGTGTAGCTAAGATTTAAAAGATGTAAACGTTGAATAAAAACAATTTTTTTTAAAAAAAATAAGTTGTTGAGAAACATGTTGACTGCTGTCAAGTCTTGAGAAAATTTGATGTAGAGTTTTGTTTTTTCAGTCATTGTTTCTCTCTGGTCATTTTTTGGGAGTACTAGGCACACAAGATGAAAGTCCCTTCCCATAATATGCTTGAGTCATTTCTGCTGAGTGACAAAAGATTGTTTCTTGGAAAGAGGTTCAAAGGCAACATTTTGTGCGGCAACCTTGAGAATAAGCAGTGAGAATCTTCAAGAGTACTCTTGAAGAGTTTGAATTTTCAAAAGTTCTTGGGTTTGAAAGAAAGATAAGAACTAGATCCTTGTGGCAAAGAATACTGACAATAAAAATTGTCTTCCAGTTTGCCTTGGAGGTTTATTCTCTAAGTGATTTATTTTATTTATTTATTTGTCAAACATGTACAAGATAACAGTTATAAATATAAACATGGACATGAACATAGGAAATGAGTACAAATAAATGAGGACTGGAGGACAGGGATGGTAGGCACGCTGGTGCGCTTATGCACGCCCCCTTACAGACCTCTTAGGAATGGGGTGAGATCCACGGTAGACAGTTTAAGAATAGAATAGAATAGAATAGAATAGAATAGAATAGAATAGAATAGAATTGAATTGAATTCTTTATTGGCCAAGTGTGATTGGACACACAAGGAATTTGTCTTAGGTGCATATGCTCAGTGTACATAAAAAGACAAGATACATTTGTCAAGAATCATAAGGTACAACACTTAATGATAGTCATAGGGTACAAATAAGCACTCAAATCATACTAGGAAACAGGTTGAAGCTGTGGGGGTTTGAGGATGTAACAACCGAGTCAGGTAGTGCATTCCAGGCATAGACCACTCTGTTGCTGAAGTCATGTTTTCTGCAATCGAGTTTGGAGCATTTTACCTTGAGTTTGTATTTATTATTTGCCCGAGTATTATTGAGGTTGAAGCTGAAGTAGTCATTGTCAGGTAGGACATTGTAACAGACAATTTTGTGTACTATGCTTAGATCAGACCGTAGGTGACATAGTTCCAGGTTGTCCAAGCCCAACATTTTAACCCTGGTGGCATAAGAGATTCTATTGTGAGCAGAGGAATGGAGGACTCTTCTCGTGAAATACCTCTAGACCCACTCAATGGTATTAATGTCTGATATGCAATGTGGGTTCCAGACAGATGAGCTGTATTCAAGAATTGGTCTGGCAAAGGTTTTGTATGCCCTAGTTAGCAGTTCAATGTTACCGGAGAAGAAGCTTCGCAAAATTAGGTTAACAATTCTTAATGCCTTTTTGGCATTGCTGTTACAGTGGGGCTTAGATCATTTGAGATGAGTATTCCTGGGTCCTTGACAAGATCTGTTCTTGTTTTTATAGAGAAATGGGAAATCAATCCTGCAGAACTCACCTTTATGCGAGAACTGGGCAGTGGTCTCTTTGGGGTAGTGCGGCTGGGCAAATGGAGAGCCCAGTACAAAGTAGCCATTAAGGCCATCCGAGAAGGTGCCATGTACGAAGAGGACTTTATAGAAGAAGCTAAAGTGATGATGTAAGTAACGGGCAAAGGTGCCGGTTATTATTTTAAGAAACCATTAAAGAATCTGGCTGCAAAACTTCTTAAGAAATGTCTTCTGAACACCTTGAGTTGTTCTGCTCTGTTTCCCTTCGTTTTAAAGAATTACTTCTACTGCCTGAGTCAGAACATCAAAAGCCTATAATGCTTCTCTCCTCATTTTGTTCACTGGTGCACTGTAAAAAATAAATAAATCAATTTTAGAAGTATCAAACTCGCTAAGCTCAAATTTAGCAAGAACCAAATCTGTATTTTGATCAGGAGAAGAATGGGCTGTTTAAACAATTAATGATGCTAATATTATTAGCAATATATTGCTAGCAAAATACATACAGTATCCCATACTAAAGGCAGTGATATAATCAAATCCCTACAAAAAACTCTGCCATTTTTTGTTCCAGCTGCTTAATATCTTCCAGCACAGGTATATCCATGAACCACTTCGTTAACATATTTAAATGCTTAACATATAAAACGATGTTTCATGGGAAGTAGGTTTGAAATTGTAATAGGGTTTGTGGTATCTATCTTCACATTTAACATTAGAGATTGAGAAACTAGGACTCTCTAGCTGTAAATAATCCTATTGTATGGAAGAAAGAAAAATACATTATTATTAGAATAGATTGACAGAACCCCAGCTGTCTGTTGTATTTATTTTAGACATGTAATCTTGCAAAACATGACCTTTTGGGATATAATATCAGTGGTGGAGTGTTACAGTAGTGGCCAAAATTGTGGAAATCTTTTGGGAAAAGTATATTTTTGAGGTTTGATGGCTAATAATACCACTTTTTTTTCTTTTTTTCTTTTTTTTTGAGTTTCAAGATAATCCTATTCCATTGCTGCAATAGACTGGGAATAGCCCGGGAATAGCCCAGACCTTAATCCAATTGAAAATCTATGGAGCCGACTAAAGAAACTTGTTAGTCAGAAGTGACTCAGCAATAAAACCCAGTTAATAGAAGCAATCATTCAATCTTGATTTCACATGATAACAGCTGCAGAACTCAAAGACTTGGTTCACTCCATGGGAAGACGTTGTAAGGCCGTCATTCATGCTAAAGGTTACCCAACTGAGTATTAACTGACATGGGGATCATTTTTGTATATCTCGTTTTTTCTTGAGTTTCACTTTTCTTCTTTATACTGTAACTGCTAGTATTCTAATAGCAAATCCTTCATAAAAGTTATTGCATTACATTCTTGATTAAATTATCTTTCCATTGATATATAAATTTATGGTATTACTCCCAAAAAAAAAGTGGTGGCATTAGCTACTTTTAGAAAATACACTTTTCCCAAAAGGTTTCCACAATTTTGGCCACTACTGTACAGCCACATTTCTGTATGCTGAAGGTAGAGCCTGTATTTTGAATTGGTTTCAAATCCTAAATATTGGTTGATTAATTCCATCTGCATATTAATGTTATGCCCTGCTCTGCAAACAGACAGCTATAAGGCATATGCAGTTTAACTGGTTTGGCTCTTTTCTTGCTCTTCCTCGTCTTCTGAATTTTTATGGTGTTTTTAGCATAAAGACTGCATAAGCTTTTCTCATTGACTTCTTTTTCGCATAAAGAGGGCATATATGGTATTTAATTATGATTTATTTTGTAATTATATCCCAATTGCCTTTTTCAATTTTCTTTCTTTATTCTTGATTTTTTCTTTTTTCTTTTTTTCTTTCTTTCTTTTCTTCTTTCTTTCTTTTCTTTCTTTTCTTCTTTCTTTCTTTCTTTCCTTCCTTTCTTTTCCTTTCTTTCTTTCTTCCTTCCTTCCTTCCTTTCTTTCTTTCTTTTTTCTTTCTTTCTTTCTTCCTTCTTTCTTTCTTTCCTTTTTCCTTCCTTTCTTTTCTTTCTTTCTTTCTTTCTCTTTCTTTCTATAACTTTCAGGAAGTTGACCCATCCGAAATTAGTCCAGCTATATGGTGTTTGTACTCAGCAGAGACCTATCTACATAGTGACGGAGTTCATGGAACATGGTTGCCTTCTAAATTATCTTCGCCAAAGACGTGGACACTTCACTAAAGATAACCTGCTGACTATGTGTCAGGATGTCTCTGAAGGAATGGAATATCTGGAGAAAAATAGCTTCATTCACAGAGATTTGGTTAGTCTGGGGAAGAACATGTGTAAATGTGTTGCATTCATAAAGCACAGGGTCTAAAGGATGTGCTTCGTGACTGAATTTTTATGATGTTTCTGAAATGTTTTTGACCAAAAGCTATGCAAAGTAGGATTCATGTCCCTTTAAGACTTGCAAAGGAGAAATCAAAGCTAGTGTTTTCTCCACCATGAATGGCAAAGTGTGCTTACATTGTGGCCTGTCAACCGCCAGCCCCTTCAGCACCCAAATCAGATGAGGAGAAGCATGGGAGTCGGTCAGCATCAAGGTAACCTGAGAGCTCCGAGGGGGAAGAGGGAATGGAGCTGTCAGAGAGAGAGAGAGACAGACAGAGGCGGAGCCTGGGCCGTCCGCCAGCTCTCAGATGGAGAGTCAACAGCCCCCAGGTGTGGAGGTGGCTGATGAGGAAGAGGAGGAACAGCTGGGTCCAGTGCCTGATGCGCGGATAGTTTATACTTTATTTTATTGTCATTGCACATGGTACAACGAAATTAGATGTCTTCAGTGTACATTATAACTATAAAAATAAAAACACAAACATACATCCTTTACATCCTATATAATTGAAATTGAAAACCTGATATTGCGCTATACTGTAGAATTCAATATGGTTATTGCCCTGGGATAGAAGCTGTTTTTCAGCCTATTTGTCCTTGTTTTTATTTTTTTATTTTTTATTTTTATTTATTTATTTATTTTTTTAATTTGATTTATATGCCGCCCTTCTCCGGAGACTCAGGGCGGCTTACAGTGCATTCAGCAATAGCCTTCATACTTTTGTATATTTATACAAAGTCAGCTTATTGCCCCCACAAACTGGGTCCTCATTTAACCTACCTTAGAAAGGATGGAAGGCTGAGTCAACCTTGAGCCTTGGAGAGATTCGAACCAGCAGTAAATTGCAGGCAGCTGTGTTAATAACAGGGTGCTTTAAACCACTGTAGTACCAAGGCTCTTGGTACTTTTGCTTGGTAATCTTGCTTTATTGATCTGTACCGTCTGCCAGATGGTAATAGTTCAAAAAAAAAAAGGGGTGCCCAGGATGAGATGGATGTACGGAAAGCAGAGGAGAGGAGAGCACTGGAAATCCGTGGGCCGATCCTTAGGACAGAAGAGCCACTGCTGCTAGCGAAGCCCCACCCTAGCTCAGCGGATAAAAGGCAGGGGGCGGAGATGAATAGATGTGGCAGACAACTATTCATCTCCCGGCCGGACAGACTTGTTAGCCTGCACTGAGAGAGAAATTTTTTGCCGGGGCTGCTGGCGCTCCTAATAAAGGAATCTTTGAATTCACTTCAGAGGGTTTGTCACGTTTGGGGAGCAGGGTCAGAACAGCTTATCACATTTTCCACACATGTTAACAGCCCCTCATGTCTTATTCTTCTTACAAGTGGATTACTGCAACATGTTCTACATGAAGCTGCCCTTGATGGCCATCTGGAAGCTATAGCTGGAAAGTGACTGTGGGGCAGAAAATTGGTTCTTTGATGAAAAGAACCAATCTTGCCTTCAAACATTTGGGAAGGGCACAGAGGATTTCCATCAATAGACTTTATGCTACATAATCGGAGCACTTGATCCGTTCTGGAAGGGGGAACACTAAATAGATTAAAGTATCTAGAATGATCTCCAGGATGCTCTCCAGTAAACCTAGTTACTGTATTTTACAGAGTATAAGATGCACCGAAGTATAAGACGTGCCTTAGTTTTTGGGAAGGAAAATAAGAAAAAAGCTGATTGGCAGGTGGATGGCCTCCCGGGATACCCCCAATCAGCTGTTCCTATTGAATTTTAGCAACAGGTTCCTTGGTTGTGAGCTCTGTGCCTTGCTTTTTTTTGCTTTTTTTTTCCTGCCTCTGAAACTCCATTTCAGAAAAAACTTTTTTTCATGCCTCTGAAAGCCTCTGAAACAGCTTCAGAAAAAAAGCCTCTGAAGCTCTGTTTGGAGGCTTTTTTTTTTTTTTTGAAGCTTCGTTTCCGATGCTTTTTTCAGCCTCTGAAACCTCTGTTTGAGAAGCTGGGCGAGGCTACATTCGAAGTATAAGACGCACCCAGATTTTCACTCTCTTTTTTTGGGGGGGAAAGGTGCGTTGTTATAATCCAAAAAATACGGTAATTGCTTTTACTTTTCTTGGGGAACAGCTTGCCTGAAAAGAACCACTAATCCTAAAAGAACCCATAATTCAAATGATGCTGGAGACCCTGGATTTGCTTTACACTCAATTCGTATTTCTCAACCTTGGCAGCTTGAAGACACGTGGACTTCAACTCCCAGAATTCCCTAGCCAGCCATGCTTTCCGGGGGTGGTAGCATGCTTTAGTTTGGCATGATTCTGTTGATGGTGAGAAGCAATAAAGAATTCTGCTTTGAAGACTTGCAACATATCTTTCTTGGTTTTTAGAGCCTGACACCTCTACACTTGTGTAACTGTTAGACGTTAAGCAGCAATCCAAGATATGCAGTCCATATCCAACTATTGTTTTACTTTTCTTCTTTCTCTAGGCTGCTAGAAACTGCTTAGTGAATGAGTCGGGAGTGGTGAAGGTGTCTGATTTTGGAATGACAAGGTATTCATCTCTACACCTTTTAAGCAGACATATTTTAAGTTTACATTTTGGTACTTTCCAAAGTGGTAGAGTGGTGGCCGTGTTTTTAATTTAAAACAGACCCCAATAATGTGTAGCTTACGTAACCAAATATCTGCAAAATTTATCCATTAGGCAGTGACATGAGTATTGAATACAAGTAGTCCTCAACTTATGACCACAATTGGGACTGAAATTTCAGTTGATGAGCAATGCAGCCATTAAGCATATGATGCGGTCCAATTTTACAACCCTGTTTAGTATGGTCATTAAGCAAATCACGCAGTAATGAAAGCAAAACATGTTGTTAAACAAACCCAGCCTCCCCCATTGACTTTGCTCACCAGAAGGCATCTGGGAAGGTTGCAAATTGCGATGACGTGACTGCAAGGATTGTGCAACAGGCATGATTTTGAGGATAGGTCAAAGTCACTTTTTTCAGTGGCATCGTAATTTCGAACCATTGTTAAACAAGTGGTCCTTATTTGAGGACTATCTGTGTCGATTTCTTGTACAGTGGTACCTCAGTACTTGGTGTTAATTTGTTCCAGGAGGTGCAAAGAGTACTAAAAAGGATGCGTCCCAAACAAACCATGTGACTTATCACATGTTTCTGCTGGGAAGAACTTCCTTTTGTCCCTTTTTCTATGTCAGTGACCTTTCCTGCATGGCCGACGTCCTGTCCGCTCCCTGTGGCCATCCCTCTCTTTTTGCAGTGCTCTTCCCAGCATGGCCAACTTCCTATCCGTTCTCTGCAGCTGTCCCCGTTTTCCTATTGCAGCACATTGAGTACTAAACAAATGCCGAGTACTAGGACAACATTTTCACATCAAACTGCGTTGAGTACCAAATTTGACGAGTTTTGAAGCAGTCGAATACCGAGGTTCCCCTGTAACTCATTTCAGAGGAAGGATCTTTTTTTCCCTCCTTTTAGGTATGTTCTTGATGATCAGTACACTAGCTCTTCAGGCGCTAAATTTCCTGTGAAGTGGTGTCCGCCTGAAGTTTTCAATTACAGCCGATTCAGTAGCAAGTCTGACGTTTGGTCTTTTGGTAAGATCGTTTTAACTTTTTTATTAATTTTTAAAAAAATAAATTTTGGAGAATTACTTTTTCAAATCTTCCATTAGCCTCTTCAAATTATCCGCCAAAGCAACAATTATAATTAAGATAGAAAGGGAAAAAAATGCTTCATGTTAATGACAAATAATAAATAGTTCTAGGTGAAATAAATACAGGGAATCTTGGATAAAATATGGGTGTCATGGACATTAGCCCTTATAGTGTAAATTAGTACTTAAAACTTAACATTCAGGAGTTTCAGATGTTGTAATCTGTTTTTAACTTGTGCTTTATTTTCTTCTAGTGGTTTCTAAATATATTGCAAAACACATGTTTCTGGTTAACTTTTTTTTTTTTAATTTGATTTATATGCCGCCCTTCTCTGGAGACTCAGGGCGGCTTACAGTGCGTTAAGCAATAGCCTTCATACTTTTGTATATTTTATACAAAGTCAGCTTATTGCCCCCACAAACTGGGTCCTGTTCTGATTATTTGTTTATCAAATTTCTACATCACCCATTTCACCTAAGTGACTTTGGGCAGTTTATAATGTAATGTTTGCTCTCCATAGTGAGGTGAGCAGAATACAAACTTAAATAGATAAGTAAATATATTTTATATAAACACAATCACTTGTTTTTATGGAGATTTATTACTACATACCTATACTATACTGTTACTGCTTTAATGAGTAGCTGAGAAATAAGTATGAAGCATCTCTTCTGAATCATTCTTGGTGCCTGTGTAACCCTAATGCCTAGTTCTACTTTTCAGACTCATTTCATAAGCATTTGTCTAACCATTCTATTGCTGATAAACTAAATAAGCTTAGAAGATTTAGGCAAGGTGATTATCTACCGTATTTTTCAGAGTATAAGACGCACCGGAGTACAAGACGCACCTTCGTTTTTGGGGAGGAAAATAAGAAAAAAGTTGATTGGTGGGTTGGTGGCCTTCCGGAATACCCCCAATCATACAATCAATATTTTAGCAACAGGTTCCTAGGTTATGAGCTCTGTGTTTTTGTTTTTGTTTTTTTGCTTTTTTTTTTTCTGCCTCTGAAAGCCTCCAAAACAGAGCTTCAGAAAAAAAGCATCTGAACCTGTTTCAGAGGCTTTTTTTCTGAAGCTCTGTTTGGAGGCTTTTTTTCTGAAGCTCTGTTTCAGAGGCTTTTTTCTGAAGCTCTGTTTGGAGGCTTTTTTTCTGAAGCTCTGTATGGAGGCTTTTTTTCTGAAGCTTCGTTTCTGATGCTTTTTTCAGCCTCTGAAACCTTCTTTTGAGAAGCTGGGCAGGGTTACATTCAGAGTATAAGATGCACCCAGATTTTCACCCTCTTTTTTGGGGGGAAAGGTGCGTCTTATACTCAGAAAAATATGGTAGTTCATTAGGATTGATTTTCTATTAACATATTTGTATTTGCCATCATGGAGGATAACCCAGAATGTTGGAATTGAAATTCAGTTATTTCTGTGAACTTTGACTAATCCCTCTCTCTCTCATTTTGCAGGAGTTCTCATGTGGGAAGTGTTTACAGAAGGGAAGATGCCCTTTGAGACAAACACAAACTATGAAGTGGTCACTATGATTACCCAAGGACATCGGCTATTTCGACCCAAGCTGGCTTCTAAGAATATTTTTGACTTGATGGTAATGTGCTGGCATGAGGTAAGTTATATTGCATTTACTTGTATTAGTCCTATTACTGTATTCTAGCATGAAGAGTGACCCAAAGTAGACGCAACCATTCTTTGCACCCTGTCGAGTGAAAATTCCCAGACCATAAGTCAATGCAATAGCAATAGCACTTAGATTTATATACTGCTTCACAGTGCTTTTACAGCCCTCTCTAAGCGGTTTACAGAGTTGTTCTGACCTAGGCTTCTTGAGTCATTAAAACACACGAGTAGTCCCAAAAACCTCTTTTATTGCAATAGCTGTGAATTCTGTTCATTCACAGCTGAGTCCCAATTAGTTGCAAAAAGTCCTTCGGGATAATCACCCACCTTTATCTCCCTTGACACCCTGCCAAAGACCTAATTGGCAAAGCCACACAGCGTCCGGAATCAAACAGAGCTTCAGGCTTTAAGCTGAACCGAATGAACAAACGTTGCTTCCTGCAAAGGCCCAGGTGCCTTTGCTCTTCTTTTTTTTTTTTTTTAATTTGATTTATATGCCGTCCTTCTCCGGAGACTCAGGGCGGCTTACAATGCGCTAAGCAATATTAATATTAATATTAATAATATTAATATTTTAAGTCTTACGGCAAGGGTCAATCATCTCCCAGCCCTACTCCTGAATCATCCCTTTTGATTTAACTGGTCTTGTCTTATGGCAACTCTGCGCATGCGCGCACTGGGAACAGGCTCCCCCTGTTCCTCTGCCTCACTGAGTCTGACTCTGGAGGCTCTGGAGTCTGCGCAGAACTCCCAGAGGTCCTGGCCCCATCTCTGCCTCCAATACTGAGCCCTCGTCCGAACCTTCCCCAGACTCCAGAACTGGCCCATGTTCCTCCCAGCCTCCCCACTGTCTGACTCTGCTGCCAGCTCCACAGGCTGCTGGCGGACCACAACAAGAGTCAGCCCCCAACAATTTGGGTCCTCATTTCACCCACCTCGGAAGGATGGAAGGCTGAGTCAACCTTCAGCCTGGTGAGATTCGAACTGCCAAATTGCAGTCAGCCGGCAGTCAGCAGAAGTAGCCTGCAGTACTCCAACCACTGTGCCACTGTGTGAAAACTAGTCCTAAATCCCTTTTTCAGTGTTAAAAATTCAGATGATTTTTAATTCTAACAATTAGCCATTTTATGAATCAGAAAAACATTAGCAATTGACAGTACTGTCTTACGGTGTCAAGAGGTGAGCTTAATATGTTAGTTCTCTCTACAAGAAAGGATGTGGTGACTCAGTGGCTAAGATGCTGAGCTTGTCGATCAAAAGGTCGGCAGTTCAGCGGTTCAAATCCCTAGTGCCGCGTAATGGGGTGAGCTCCCTTTACTTGTCCCAGCTTCTGCCAACCTAGCAGTTCGAAAGCACATAAAAAGTGCAAGTAGAAAAATAGGGACCATCTTTGGTGGGAAGGTAACAGCGTTCTGTGCCCCTTTGGTGTTTAGTCATGCCGTCCACATGACCACAGAGACGTCTTCGGACAGCGCTGGCTCTTCGGCTTTGAAACGGAGATGGGCACTGCCCCCTAGAGTCCGGAACAACTAGCACATATGTGCGAGGGGAACCTTTACCTTTATCTACAAGAAAGGTATTAGGTAGAAAGATTTGGGTGAGCTAAGTGCAGAAATCAAATACTAATAAAATCTTAGTAAAACTATCATGTTCTTATAACTTCTATACTTCAGAGATGAATTCCGATAGATTTGGTTGAAACAACACTGAATAAAAAAGGATTGATCTTGCTTAGTTCTTCAACCTATTTGTCACTAGAGTGCTTTGTATGAGTATGTGTTTCCAAAATATGACAATTGCAGCAAAACAGCAAGAAATACATGGCACCTTAAAGACTAACAAATTTATAATTGGGTAAAATGTAGATCACTGTCCATTTCATGGCTCCTATCACTCTCAAAACATACGCAGTAATATGTTAACTTTTTTTTTATAATCATCCCAATTTTGTGTTAAAACGGCTTCTTCCAGTATTTGTGATTTGCTTAAACAGTCAAGTAAGTTGATGAAGAAAAATACCCTTTCAGTTTGATTTACTAGTCCTCAATTTACAACTGTAATGGAGCCCAGAATTTCCATCATAACTAATGATAGTCATAAGTTGAGACACCCACATGAACAGACCAAATTTTACAACTTTTTTTATGGCGGTTGGTGAGTGAATGCAAAATTACTATGTAAATGCCACACTTTTAAGTGAACACTGCGATTGTTAAGTAGATTCATATGTTCCTATAACAATAGCATAGAATAACAGAATTATAGAGTTGGAAGGGACCTTGGAGGTCTTCTAGTCCAACCCTCTGCTTAGGCAGGAAACCCTACACCACTTCAGACAAATGGTGATCCAACATCTTCTTAAAAACTTCCAGTATTGGAACATTCACAACTTCTGGAGGCAAGTTGTTCCACAGATTAATTGTTCTGTCAGGAAATTTCTCCTTAGTTCTAAGTTGCTTCTCTCCTTGATTAGTTTCTGTTAAGGAATATGCGCAGAGTAACCCTTGAGTAGCAAGGTTGTGCACATGAGAAACAGCTGAGAGTGATTGTGACTAAGCAGTGTCAATACACAGACACACTGAGTTGTGATATTCTTTTACTTTTAGGAAAAAGTAAAGCAAAGTCCAATAAACAATCCAGGTCATACACAGATAAAGATAGTTAAATTGTCAATCCAGGGATATTCCAAGAACAAAGTCTTCTTACCAGTTGTTGTAGTCATATGCAATAAAAGTTCTTTTTAGAGTTGCAAACAGGAACAAGTACAGCAGTAAAACAATCAGTAAAATAGTAGAAAACAACAAGTAGCAATGATCAATGGCAGAGAGGAGCAGAGGTAGCAATAATAATGTAATAAGAAAAATAAGCCATGATTCAAGCTTCCTCTTAAATACGTTGGCTACAGAGCTAGCCAATCAGAATACAGTATGATGCAATACAGCATTACAGTCTTAAAGCTATACATTACATTTTGACTGCAAACATGCATTGATGGTTTATATATACTGCCAACCCAACCAGTTAGGCAATAGCCATTCCCTAACAGTTTCCACCTATGGCTGCTTCTTCTACCCTCAACTGCTTTGGAGAATAGTTTGACTCCCTCTTCTTTGTGGCAATAGCACTTGCTTCATAGTGCTTTACAGCCTTCTCTGAGAGGTTTAGAGTCAGTCTTTTGCCCCCCACAATCTGGGTCCTCATTTTGCTGACCTCAGAAGGATGGAAGGCTGAGTCAATCTTGAGGCGGTGAGAATCAAACTGCTGGTAGTCGGCAGAATTAGCCTGCAATACTACATTCTAACCACTGTGCCACTATGGCTCTTGTAAAAACACCCATGGGTGTTTTTCGCTGGAAACAGCCCAAAGAAGCCAGAAACCAGCAAGAAAACTTCATAAATTGCAGTCGTGTGACTGAAACACCGCGATAGGCTGAAAGGTGAGCCAATTGCCAAGCTCCCAAAAGGTGACTGCAGCAGAGGTGGATTTCAGCAGGTTCTGACCAGTTCTGGAGAACCGGTAGCGGAAATTTTGAGTAGTAATATATATACTAATTGAGGACTATTTGCATATCATGCGTGGCAAAAGAAAAAGAAATCTCAATAATTAGAGCCTTTTTATAAAACTTTTCTATTTCTAGAAACCAGAAGGACGTCCTACGTTTCAGGATCTCCTGCATATGATTGAATGTATAGCTGAAGACTCTTCGTCCTGACTATAACCTTGGCAGGTGCAAGAATTCACAATAAGGACATAACCATTTCGGAGATGCTGCTGGATTCTTCCCAGAGACACAATCCCGGATGCTGCTTAGAAGGAAGACAAGGCAGTTGTGCATATTGCTCCTTTCTCTCTGGAAGAAGTTTTATCAGCCTATTTAAAGTCCATTTGACTATTCAAACAATATTGTTATCAAGCGGACCACAGTGTGGTTTTCCCGAGGGGGAGAAATGCCCATTTGTAGCAGGATAAAGCTACCGTACAACGTAACCCAAATTCAGCACAAGCTTTTTATAAGTCAGCCGTTGACTTGAAAGAACACTATTTAAAGTGATTGTCGTTTATCGTCTTGCCCATTGAATGAGCCCTCCAGATGTGTTTGGCCACATCTCCTGTTCCAGCCAGCAGAGCTTCGGGTACACTGGGTTGGTCATGGCTGCTGGTGAATGTAGAGGTTATAGGTAGATGGAGAACTGAGGCCATGAGTCTCCTACAGAACTTTATATACAAGACCTCAGTGGCTTGTCAGGAAAATATGGACAAAGAGAAAGAAGTACAGAAGTACCAGATCTCCTTGACTAGAAGCTGCTCAAAGACCCCACCAGGCCCGAAACAGATGTTAGGAAGAAGATTATCAAAAGACTTTCCAGTACTTGTGACTTGTTTAAGCAGTCACTAATGAAAAAAAAAATACCCTTTTGGTTTGATTTGCTATATCCGTGATGGCGAACCTATGGCACGCGTGCCACATGGAACCGCGTGCCACATGGAACCATGTGTTGCCCTAGCTCAGCTCCGGCCCGCACCGGCCAGCTGCTTTTCAGGCCTTCCAGGCCCACCAGAAGTCAGGAAACAGGCGGTTTCCAGCCTCCGGAGGGCCTCCAGGGGGGTGGGGAAGGCCCGTTTTTCGCTTTTCCCAGGTTCCTAGAAAGCCTCTGGAGCCTGGGAAGGGCGAAAAATGGGCCTACTGGGCCCACTGTGCCATCGTGTGCCAAAAGCGGGGAGAAAAGAAAAATATTATTAAAGCCTCTTTAAAATGTTTCAATTTCTAGAAACCAGAAGGGCTCTTATGAAACACGGCATTCATCATAAATGTATTCTAAATACCATTTATGGATTGTAAATATGCAGCGCACATAGGTTTTCGTATGAAGGGAGAACGTAGTATGTCCCTCACTATTTAAAAGCACAACATATCAATACTTTATCATATGCTGCATGTTCAGTTTGGCATTCAGCAAAAAAGAGAACAAGCTCCCAACTTTATTACAAACTGGAAAGGTTGGGTTTTTTTTTTTTATCGGATTATTATTTTGCTTTTACCAACTGCAAAGCATGCTATATTGCCAGGGAAATAATGCATAGCAAAACGTGTCTAATAAATGTTACTTCATATAATCAATATGAAGTTGTGATGAAAGGTTGAATCACTGGTTTTCGTTTTTGGGTGGGCCTGTGGGGCAAAATTAAACCTTCGCACTCATTATTATTTTGAATATTTTTATTTTTATTTCTCATAAACATGTCTTAAATGTACAGTCTTTTATCCATTGTTAATCATACATAATCTTTTAACTTTCATATTAGTTCATTCTTCATCCTAAAAAATTTGAGTATACTCGGGGTTGCTCTTGTACCATTCCTACGCACAGTCACTCAAGCACTCGTCACTTCTCGTCTGGACTATTGTAACGCTCTCTACATGGGGCTCCCCTTGGGGTGCACCCGGAGGCTCCAACTGGTGCAGAATGCGGCCGTGCGGGGGATTATGGGAGCGACAGGGCGCTCCCATGTGACTCGTCTCCTGCGCGAGCTGCATTGGCTTCCGGTGGACTTCCGGGTGCGCTTCAAGGTGTTGGTGATCACCTTTAAAGCGCTCCATGGCTTAGGGCCGGGGTACTTACGGGACCGTCTTCTGCCACCAATTGCCTCCCACCGGCCAGTTCACTCCCACAGAGAGGGCCTCCTCAGGGTGCTGTCGGCCAGACAATGTCGGCTGGTGACCCCCAGGGGGGGAGCCTTCTCTGTGGTGGCACCTACTCTCTGGAACAATCTACCCCAGAGATACGAGTGATCCCAGACCTCCGGACTTTTCGTCGGGCCCTTAAAACCTACTTCTTTCAGTTAGCCGGGCTGTCCTGATTTTATGATGGGTTTTTAAAATTTGAAATTGGTTTTAAATTGAAATGTTTTAAATTATGGGCCAAATTATTTAATTATTTTAAATCTATTTTAACTTTTGTGTATAAAGTGTTTTACTTGGCTGTTCACCGCCCTGAGTCTGAAAGGAGAAGGGCGGTATAGAAATCTGAAAAATAAATAAATAAAATAAATTCCATCTCCCTTATTTTACAACAATCCTTCTCCTCCTCTCTTTCCCTTCCCTCCCTTCTTCCATCCTTCTTTCTTTCCTCCTCTCCTTCCCCTTCCTTTCCCACTCCACCCTTCTTCCTCCCTTTCTAACCTTCTCTCCTACTCTTATTTCCCCTCCCTTTCTTCCTTTCCTTTTCCCTTTCTTCTGTTCCTCTCTCTCCTTCCTCTCTTCTCCCCTCCTATCTATCCCTCTACTCCTCTTTCCATTCTCTCTCCATTGTTGTATTCATTTTCAATTCAATAATTTCCAAAGTGGTATCCGATCAACCCCGATTTTCTATTTATATATACTTTCTTTTCAATTTCTTTAACCTTCGCACCAGTGGTGAAATGTAAAATTTCTTACTACCGGTTCTGTGGCTTGATGGGGGGGGGGGGTAATGTGACTGGGTGGGCATGGCCAACTTTTTTTTTTTTGTATTTTTTTACGGCTGAAGAGGTTGTAGAAAAAATGCTTTTAAAAGGCTGACGATCTCAGTTGAGCCACGCGATCATCAGAGGCTTTTTTTTTTACTTTTTAAAGCATTTTTTCAGCCGAAGATAAAAATGCTTTTAAAAGTAAAAAAAAAGCCTCTGATGATTGCACAGCTCAGCTGGACATGGGAGGGGGGGGCAGGGATTTTTGCTACCAGTTCTCCGAACCACCCACCGCCATCGCTACTGGATCAGGCAATCCGGTCCGAACCGGGAGCATTTCACCCCCTGCTTCGCACTCATTAAAATAGTTCCTAAACTACTCATCATGTCATAAATTATGACCATCCCAAAGTTCATCCTAAAGTTGTATGGGGACGTACGGTAATTTCTCATGTCACGCAACGATTCAGAAGCATCGAAACCACCTTAGATAACAGTGCACTGCAGACCCCAAAAGGAAAATGAATATTTTTTGCTTTATCCTGAAACTCTTCAAAATCAGCAAAGGTAATTTTGCAATTCTGTTCAGGGAGAGGAAATTACACAATCCTATCCATTATGTCATTTCACCCAAACAATCCAGACTCTACTGCTGAAGAATACCAATGCTGCTTGCATAAATCCAAGTTAATTACATTTGAAAAGAGGTTAGGTGTGAGGAGTAGCAGCTAAAGGACATTACCATTCCCAACTGTTACTTAGCTACTTCTAATAGTTAAGATTTCAGTAAGCCCCTTGCCCCACATTTTTTAACATAAAGACTAAACCAGGGGTGTCAAATTCGCGTCGTCACGTGACATATCGTGACTTACGGGTGGACGTGGGCAGCATGTTTCACATCTGGACCACAGGCTAAGAGTTTGACACTCCTGGACTAGACTATATTCTTGAAAGAGAAATACTCTTGATAGTTACATAAAGACTTTCTGCAAAATTGCAGCACATGTGGTTTTTGCTTCTAAGAATGGCACCACCAGAGAAATTCGTATTGTGACCTAGGCTTACTGAGTAATCACAATACACAATTAGTCCCAAACAAACCTATTTTATTGTAACAGCTGAGAATTACGTTCATTCCCAGCTGAGTCCCAATTAGTTGCAAAACTAGTCCTTCGGAAGACGTCCTTTGGGATTATTACCAACCTTTATCTTCTTTGACACCCTGCCAAAGGCCTTACTTGGCAAAGCCCCACGAAGTTCAGAAACAAACAAGAGATGCCAACTGGAAACAGAGTTAGCAATGTTGCTTTCCTGCAAAAAGGCCCAAGTGCCTCTGCTTCTCTTTTAAGCCTTATGGGAAGGGCCAATCATCTCCTGGCCTTACTCCCAAGTTGTCCCTTTTGCTTTAGCTGCTCTTGCCTTCTGACAGCTCTGCGCATGCGTGCACTAGGAACAGGCTCCTCCTGTTCCTCTGGCTCTCTGCTGTCCGACTCTGGGGGCTCCGGAGTCTGCGCATCACTCCAGATGTCCCTGGCCCCATCTCTGCCTCCAACGCAGAGCCCTTGTCGGGGTCTTCCATAGACTCCACGACTGGCCCATGTTCCTGCCCAGCCTCCTCACTGTCCGATTCCGCTGCCAGCTCTGCAGGCTGCTGGCGGACCACAACAATTTGCCCAATGATTTGTTACCTTAAAAATAAGGGATATTCCCCAAAATAGCTAAAATGTAGGGCGCTTCATACAGAAGCCGGGTGAACTATCTTTTGTCTTAATTGTTAAAAGCCATCAATAGCAATCAATTCACACTCTTGGGTGGGTTGCCTAAATATTTTCTTGATCTGAATCTTATATGGACCTACCTCTGATTCCCTGCATCCAGGAGGATCCTCCAGATGGATTAGGATGATATAAAATATAAAAACTGGCCCAATGTTAGTAGGATAAATACTTTTATCAAAACATTTTTATTCATTTTTGTCAATATTATATCAAAGCTTTGAAGATTTTCCATTCATAAAATTAAATATTAAATATTTTTAAATAGTTACGGCAAACTTCATACAGATACAGAAAAGCATTTTTCCCCCCTGAATGGCACTTCACCGTCACTGCTCATGGTTTCCAGATGAGCCACACAATAACTGAATATTCAAAATAATTAAAAACCTATGGTTCCTTATCATGAGACAGGTGCAAATTCTTAATAAACCAAAGTAATAAGAAAAATTCAGAGCTAAATAGATTGTATTATCCAAGTCCACACCTATCCATTGCGAGCTAAATATACAATTTGTTTATTTGTGTAATAAAACCTGCCTAGCTCTTTCTTTCTTAAGCAGTTTTGGAACTAAAGTGTTAATATTAAATACTGAAGAGATGACCAAAAATCTTCACACAGCCAAGCCTGTGTTTGCAGATGGAATTCTATTTCGAAACCAAATTTATTGGCACTGATAATTGTATTTCAGACATCGGCATGTAACCAAAATCACTTTCCAGTTCACAAAATCACGAGAGTCATTATGGATTTTTTAAAAAATCTCAACACTGTATTATAATATATTTCTATATAAAAAGGAAGAGAATTTAACATGTGTGAGTATCCGTGTGTGTCTTAAAAGCTAATCTATTATGCTGAACAATTAAAAGGAATTGATGAGGGAAATGAAACTTAAAGTCTTTCCAGAAATGTTTAGTATACACCAACTTATTTCCCAGATTTCATGAGTTTATTGTGAGGATTTCATGGTCTCAGTGCTATCTGGCATAGAAAGATCCTGTTTTCATTTAAGGTACTTAGACTTTAAACTTTATTCCTGGAAGTTAAACCTAAAAAAGGGAAGATGTTCTCTTTGGACATTTCCTACTTGGGAAACTAGAATAAATTATAATTTCCAATTTACTAACATGCTGGTCATTAGAAAAAGCCCTGGTTTTCACAAAATACCTTCACTTAGCCCTCAGGGGGAAAAAAAATCTCATTTTAAAACAGTGAAACTATAAAATACGATTTAGAAAATGCATTTACATATGTAATTCATTTTAGTAGCAACCACAGTCATCGCTTAAAACAGCATTACTGCCGTCAGTGACTTTTGCAGGCTGTCAAAAGTAGCAAATACAGAAACACCCAAATTTCCTTCTCTAACCCAAAAACAAAGGGCACGTCCTCCGTTCTGTTCCTCCAAATTCTGGGACAGTGAAGATAACGATATTCCTCTGGTGGGCGGTAAGCCGTGAGAAATGGCTTCAACGGTGGTTACTGTCGTTCATTTCCGCGGCTGAACAGAGTATTATCCTCGTCGCATATCGAAACGGGCGCGTCCATATTTTCTAATAAAGTGTGATGAGACTCGTAAGCATGCAGAGGCAAGCTGGGGTCTTTTTTAACGGAAGCCGCCAACTGGTTCCAGGTAATGCTGACATTTTTGAAAGCGTGAAGGAAGAAAATGCCAATGATTATGGTGAAGAATCCACTTAGGGTTCCAATGATATCGCCAAGCTCCATGCTGTTCCATTCTTTGAAGAGGATAACGGAGCAGATCACCACGGTGGTTGTGAAGCACACATAATAAATGGGAGTGACCATAGACGTGTTAAACACATCCAGTGACTTGTTGAGGTAGTTGATTTGAGTACTGACGGCCAGTACCAATACTAGGGCTAAAACGTAGAGCAGCGGATTTCGGAAGACTGGCTTCTGATAAAGCATGTCCTTAATAGCGATACCCAGGCCTTTGACGGAGGAGACTGAAAAAGCCCCTATCAGGGAACAGATGGAGATGTAGACCAATATATTGGTCTGTCCAAACCGTGGAGCGACGACAAAAATAAGGACCAGCGCGGTCAGAATTATAACAGCAGCGAACACAATGAAGACTGCAGGAAAGGAAAACAACTATACGTTAGGACCAGTGGTTGGTTGCTACCGCTTAGCTCCGGTTCGGGCGACCGCTGGTGACGGGAGGCTCCGCCCACCCACCAGGACATCTCTGCGTATGCGTAGAAACTTCTCGCCCGCGAGCAAACCGGTAACAAACGAAATTGAAACACACTACTGGTTAGGACTTAGAGAACAGCAAAGATGTCAAATCACAGTTGATGTGATCAAGTGCATTTGATCCGGTGTTCCCTAAGTGGAGAATCACTTACGAAATACTTTCCCTTTCTTCAAGAATAGGTATTAATTTCTACTGTATTCCTGAACAGGTAGAGGCGGCTCTTTAGAACTGTGTGAGGAGCATTAGGAGAGAAACTGATAACCCAAGGTTCCTCTTCAAGATCTGGATGTTTTATTTAAAAAAATTGAGGTAAAATAGAACATGTTTGAATTTATGCACTGACCGTAAGGTTTCTCTATGCCAGTGCTTTTCAATCTCGGCAACTTTAAGACGTGTGGACTTCAACTCCAAAGTTCATAGATCTCAAAGTGGCGGAGGTTGAGAAACACTGAGATAGAAGAAGAAAGAATAGCACAGTTGTATCCCATGCTGGAAATCCTGTCGTTTGATTTTCACTACATCTCAGTTGTCTAGAGCCTGGGAGCAGTTTGGAAACTGAAGCCTTCCTCCTTCTGTGTTAGCCTATTTTGTCAATAAATAAATAAATAAATAACTTTATTGTCATTGTACGTGTATACACAGTATACCCATACAACGAAATTCACTTAACACCCAAAGATCAGGTCCAACACGCCTAACAATCCCCAAACACACTCCCACCCATCACAAATTCCCCGCCCCTAAACCACCCAAACATCCACACAACAGACCAAGTAATACTGTCCAAAAGCTCAATGATGGTGTCCCTTTAGTTCATTGTTGAGTGCAATTATAGCTCTGGGATAAAAACTATTCAGAAAAATGTGTGGTCCGAGTTTTAATTGTTCTGTATCTTCTGCCAGAAGGCAACAGTCCAAAAAGATTGTAAGCAGGATGGGAAGAGTCTCTGAGAATAAATTCATATAAGAATTTATGAACTGGAATAGCCATAACAACAAGTCAGCCAATGGGAACTGTTTGGTGACTGAGACACAGGGTTTGTTGTGAGCCATGTCAGACAGCTCGGAGCCTGGGCGTGGCTTAGCTTAACTATTCTGTGTATATAAGAGTTTGTTCTTACTCCTTGCTTTAGTTCTAGTCCTTGCTTCTACTTCTTCTTTTCTACTACGCTGCAAGAGCTGCATGGGTGTTGTATACATGCATCATGTTTTATATTATTGTATATAAAGAAGTTTCTTCTATAAATGAATCCTGCTGAATTATTTACATGTGGGCTGGCTGGATAGCTACACACTCTAACGTATTTCCATTCAGTATCTCCATGTCAGCTGTAATAATGTACATGCGGGAGAACATGCACAATCTCAAATCTGTTTATAGGACAAATAAATAGCCCCTAGCCAGGGGTGAAATGCTACCGGTTCAGACTGGTTCAGGCAAACCGGTAGTAAAAAATGCTACCAGTTCGGCCAAATAGGTATTTCCGACAATCAGCTGTTTGACAATCAGCTGTGACGTGCAATTTATATTAGCTAGAATCATTGGATGTCCTGGTTTCTAGCTAATCTAAATTGCGTGGCACAGCGGATTCCCCCCCTACCCACTATTCTACTTACCTTTGCAGACTCGGAAGGCTTCAAAATGTTCCTTTTTTAGCGCTGCGTTCATGTGCGCTCGGTAGCAGACTCAGAACCGGTAGCAGACTTCAGAGGATTTCACCCCTGATTCTGGCCTAATCTAAATACATTCATGAGGAAACATTTTCATAATAGGGGCTCATTCTATGTGCTGTCCTACTCACATGAACGCTGAAGAAAACACAGCAAGGAAACAGACACATTATTCCCAGCATTCCCCTTGCTGAGCTAAGTAACTGCTTCCTGGTGCAGCCCATCAAGAGGGGTGAGGCTGCCTCCTCACAAGTAGCCTAGCTGACCTTCATTGTACCTGCCTCCTCTCAGCCCTATGTGCTCTCTGATCAGGAGGAGGCGGCATCTCCACTGACCAGCTGCAGCTTTGTGGCCTCTCCACCCGAAACCTTTGGGCTTCCCAGCTGCAGCTGTGCCTCTAGCTCAGCCAGCTGTTCATCCGGTCGCTCCCCTGTCCTCAGCCCCTCCATTCCTAGCTCATAGCCCTCATCTGCATCCCCTCCTAGCATGCCCAGGATCAGCTCACCCTCTGAATTAACATCTGGAGAGGCATCTGGGGAAGCTTCCGGGAGAGTCATCACATTCTATGGTAGCTCTCTAGTAAGCATACCTGGATCTTTCAGTTTTATTTCCATGTCATCCAATGATGTGATTTGTTCCTCTTCAGGAGCATGGATCACCATCACGGTGGAACCCAGAATGCTTAAGACACAGCCCAGCTTTCCATGAATGTTGAGCTTTTCATCCAGGAAATAGGAAGACAATATCGCACTGTTTGAAATTTTCAAAAAGGGAGAAATTAAGCAAAGATAGAACCCTTGGGAACGTAACAAATCTAGAAACTGACGCTCTGAATAGCTAGGATGAATAAGAACCAAGGACAATATTATAAATGGACAACTTTTGCACATTATTACTTCGTAATCGTCTTAGATCCATCAGCATATGAGGAGTTGAGTTTAGTTCTGCCAAGCTTTAAAACTGCTCTTCCTGACTTTTGGACACATTAGAAATGAACTGCACGTGGTCTTTTAACAGAGAGCCCTACGATGATCCCTAAACCGCCATAGAGTATGTAAATCGTGTGTTTATATGCAACTGCCTTTACAAATCTACTTTTCACAGTGCCTGGCTAAGGTAATTGTCAAGGCCAGAATCTCAATTTAAATCCTGTATATACTAAAAGAACCACATATTAGGAAAAATGTGTATTTCTGTGGAAACGCAAGTACGGGACAGTGCTGTGTATTTGTGCATAATCCAAAGATCTTTATATTGCCAAATTCTAACTGGTATGTAGTGAGGTATGTTGTCACTTTGGACTCTTCCAAACCATGTTTTTGGCTGGCTGTGGAATTCTGCAGTAGTGAAATCCAAAAATTTTTAACTACCGGTTCTGTGGGTGTAGCTTGGTGGGCATGGCTGTTCTGTCCCCGTCTCCACACACACACAAACACAGCCAGCCGAGGGTTAAGAAAGCACTTGGCACGCACACAGGTTGTTATCTAAAACTTGGCAGCTATACGAGCATTGACTGCCAAGGGCTTTACTTCATCAGATAAACAGAAAATACATACAAATTGCAAATAGTCCAGTTCAAAACAAGGAACCTTCGGCAGATTTAGGCGTTGTTCAAGTGACTAGCCAGAGTTAGTTTTTGTTCGTCACAGAGTCTTAAACAGCCACCACACTCTCTTATATAGTCTCTGGGGTGTGGTCCAGTGACTCAGTTATAATCCCTGGCACGCCTCCTTAACTGCTGCAACCGTTTATCACGCCTTCGTTGGCGTGGATCCAGGAACGACAGATCACCTCCCTCGCTCTCATTGGAGACACCTGGCTCCTGGCTAATCTTCTCTTCCTCGGCCGGCACTTGAGGCAGTGCCAGAGGGGAGGGGCCTGGAGAGGGAGGCCTGGCCGACTCTTCTTCTTCATGTTCGGAGGGCTCAGGCTCGGAGGGCGGGGCCACAACAATGGCTTGGCATGGCAGGGGAAGGATATTGCACCATTCCCACCCCACTCCTGGGGAAGGATATTGCAAAGTCTCCATTCCCATCCCACTCTGGGGCAAGCCAGAGGTGACATTTGCTGGTTCTCCGAACAACTCAAAATTTCTGCTACTGGTTCTCCAGAACCTGTCAGAACCTACTGGATTTCACCCCTGGAATTTTGGAAGTTGAAAGTCACACATCCTAAAGTTGCCAATTTTGAGAAATACTGCTTTAGAAAGACAATATAGACATATTTGAACTAAAATAGGAGCATAAGAGCCCGCAATGTATTTACAATGCCCTATTGAGCCACTATTGAACTCTAATCCTAGTTTGTTTTAGTTGGCAAAGCAATTGTACTAATTGTACTACTAACCTTATAAGGACGCTTAGTGCCCCCAATGGAGTGACCAAAGTTGCCGGGGCAAAGGCATATGCAGCAAAGTTGGCAGCTTCTCCTATTCCCACTGCCAAAAAACACAACAGCAAAGTAGAATTAACTAACCCTTTCTCCCTTTCTCTCCCTTCCCACCTCCCCTCTGTCCTCCTCCTCTCTCCTCCTCTCCCTCCCCATCTCTCTCCCTCCCTCCCTCTCCCCCTCTGCCCTTTCTTCCTTTCCCCCTCTCCCCCTCCCTTCTGTCCTCCTCTGTCCTCCTCTCTCCCTTCCCATCTCTCCCTCCTTCTCTCTCTTTCCGTCTCCCCCTCTGCCCTTTTTCCCTTCCTACCTCCCCTCTGTCCTCCTCCTCTCTCCTCTCCCTCCCCCTGCTCCTTCTCTCCTCCTCTTCCTCCCCATCTCTCTCCCTTCCTCCCTCTCCCCCTTTCTCCATTTCCCACTCTCCCCCTCCCTTCTGTCCTCCTCTCCCCCTCCCCATCTCTCCCTCCTTCTCTCTTTCCGTCTCCCCCTCTGCCCTTTCTCCCTTCCTACCTCCCCTGTCCTCCTCCTCTCCTCTCCCTCTCTCCTCCTCTCTCCCTCCCTCTCCCCCTCTCCTTTCTCCCTTTCCCTCCCTTCCCCTCTCCTGTCCTCCTCTCCCTCCCTCCTCCTTTGTCCCTTCCCATCTCTCTCCCTCCTCTCCCCCTCTCCTCCTCTGCCCTTTCTCCCTTTCCCTCCCTTCCCACCTCCCCTCTGTTCTCCTCCTCTCTCCTCCTCTCCCTCTCTCCTCCTTCTCTCTCCTTTCCCATCTCTCCCTCCCCTCTCCCCTTTCTCCCTTTCCCTCCCTTCCCCCCTCCCCTCTGTCTTTGTCTTGATTGCAGCTTGTTAATTGCAGGATGTTTTGTTTTAACAGGCTTTTTTTCTCATGCGTTTTAAGCACCGATCGGCCACAGACTATATAAGGATGAAGAAACCCGAAACTGCAAACCATAACCCTAGCAAGAATTTCTGGCAAATGGAAATGGACTCGCTTTCCATTCCTACTGTAGGACAGTAATATTACGGCAGAGGAAGCCTTACCGGTGACAACTACGGCCAGTTTCTTTTAGCGAGAAGTATGCAAAAAATAACGACCTATCAACGATAAGGTTGGAAGCTTTTGATACTTACGGGAAAGCAATCCGGCCCACCATAACCATTCTTTGAGGTAAGAATAGCCCCCCTCTCCTAGGGGAAAAAAAAAACAATACAACCATAAAAAAACATTTGGGGAAGGAAAACCTACAACTCGGCTTCTGTTCAAATACCTCAACTACCCCCTTTTTGATGTTTTTCTTTCCCCCAAAGGAGATTTTTTTTTTTTTCCGGTGTCCTCCTTATGTCATTGTAACTGCAGGCAGAATTATACCAGCAATCCATGGTGGAGTTCAATTTTTTTTTTTACTACCGGCAATGTGGGCGTGGCTTGGTGGGCGTGGCTTGGTGGACATGGCTTGGTAGGCGGGGCAAGATCCCCATTCCCACCCCACTCCAGGGGAAGAATACTGCAAAATCCCTATTCCCACCCCACTCCAGGGGAAGGATCCTGCAAAATCACCATTCCCTCCCCACTCCAGGGGAAGGATATTGCAACATCCCCATTCCCTCCCCACTCCAGGGGAAGGATGCTGCAAAATCTCCATTCCCTCCCCACTCCTGTGGCCATCCAGAGGTGGTATTTGCCGGTTCTCCGAACTACCGGTTTCTAGCATTCTGTGGACCGCTGCCAGTTCATGGACTGGGGGTTGGCGACTCATGCACTAGGATATCTAGATATTTCTCGCTACTAGTTACTCTAGATAGCCCATGGACTATCTATTCTACACCTGTACATTTGATTTTTCCTGGCTAAATGCAGGATCTTGCCTTTCTCACCACTGAATTGCATCTTGTTGGCTAGGGCCCAATCATGATATTTCTGAATCTTCAGTCTATCTTCCAATTCCCGCAGTTTGGTGCCATCTCTGCAAATTTGATCAGCGCTCCTTCTCTAGCAATAGCATTTAGACTTATATACCGCTTCACAGTGCTTCACAGCCCTCTCTAAGCGGTTTACAGAGTCAGCCTACTGCCCCCAACAATCTGGGTCCTCATTTTACTGACCTCGGAAGGATAGAAGGCTGAGTCAACCTTGATCCTGGTGAGATTCGAACTGCTAAATTGCAAACAGCCGGCAGGCAGCGGAAGTAGCCTGCAGTACCGCATTCTAACCACTACGCCACCACAGCGCTATATTCCCTCATCTAGATCATTTATGAAGCTATTGGCCTAGAAACCAGGATTCTGTCAGTTCTAGACCTGTCTTGGGCATGAAAGCCAGCTGGGTGAGTTTGGACCAGTCACTTCCTCTCAGCCCAAGCCACCTCACAGGGTTGTTGTGGAGAAAACAGGAGAAGGAAGGGGTATTAGAAGCATTGGTCACCTTTTGGACATGCCCATCCGCAAAATGAGCCTGTAGTACAGTGGACTAAAGCACTGTTATTAACAGATTAACATCTGCTGCTTGCAATTACTGCAAGTTCAAATCTCACCAGGCTCAAGGTTGACTCAGCCTTCCATCCTTTCAAAGGTAGGTGAAATAAGGACCCAGATTGTGGGAGCAATAAGCTGACTTTGTATAAATATACAAAAGTATGAAGGCTATTGCTTAACGCATTGTAAGCCGCCCTGAGTCTCCGGAGAAGAGCGGCATATAAATTAAAGCAAAAAAAAAAAAAAAAAAGGTATTGGACCAAAATTAGAAAATGGTTGGAAGAGATAATCGAGCAACCCATAGATTGGAAACCGGAGATTTACTTATTGGGAATATCCACCAGGAAATATACCAATTTTACATATAATAACGGCAGCAAGGATATCATATGCACAAAATTGGAAAAATAATAATTTACCAACTGAGGAAGAACTGATAAGAAAAATTCTGGACTGTGCTGAGATGGACAAATTAACGAAGGCGATAAAAGGAGGATACAGAATATTATGCAATATGGAACAAATGGTATAATTGGCTGGAGACTAGAAGTAGTAAATTAGAATGAATGGGAAAATGTCACAAAACGGACAATGTTTGTAAAATAATATATACCGTAGTTATAATATTATGTGTGAAGGATTATATACAGAAATAAGGGATAAATAAAGACTATAAAGACAAGTATAGTTAAAGAAGAGCAGGGGGAAAATGTAAATAATAGAAGAATACCGTTATGAAACTGTTGTAAAAAGGAAATATATGTTTTATGTTTGTCATGTTCTGTCTTCTAAAAAATAAAAGATAAAAAAAATAGAAGCCTTGGCCACCTTGAGTTATTTACAAACAATAATAAAGGTGGAATAAAAAGCAAATAAATCATATTATGGTTATGAGTTATAGAGAAACTAAGTTATTAAACTTAGTTAACAGAAGAGTAAATTTGTTTGTTGTTTCAAGACCACTTTTTGTTATGTACACACGTAAAGATCAAAATACTGTGAATGTATTTTTCTTCAACAACTCTTCTTTATTATTCATTTATTTACTGTCAAAAGGCCCCAAACTCTCTCCTCAGACCGCCTACAATGACAGGGGGGGGGGAAACCTGAACAAATAGAATGCTTCATATTGGATGAAGAATATACTCTACACTTTCCACAAAAGTATAACCTGAACGAACTATTAAATACTACCGTATTTTTCAGAGTATAAGACGCTCCGGACTATAAGACGCACCTACCATTTTTGGTGAGGAAAACAAGAAAAAGAAATCTGCCTCTGCTTCCCAGCAATTTTGCCTCTGTTGCAGCAAACAGCAAACAGCCTACTTTACTTTCATTTTCGTTTTCAGCATAGCTTGATTAGCACAAGAAAAAAGAAAATCTGCTCCCAGCAATTTACCTCCTTGCAGCAAGCAGCAGAGGCCCGTGCAAAACAGCTGAGAGCAAAACAGCTGAGAGTTGGGAGGCTGATCCAATCAACCTGTGCTAATTAGGTTGTGCTGTAGCTGAAACGAGCTGTTTCTTCTTGCTGCTTGCTGCAAGGAGGTAAATTGCTGGGAGGCAGAGGCGAAAGGGTGGGGGCCAGTGGGTGGGCGGGGCTACATTCGGTATATAAGACACACCTAAATTTTCACCCCCTTTTAGGGGGGAAAAAGGTGTGCCTTATACTCCGAAAAATTTACCGTATTGGAGATAGATAGCCAAGCTATGCTTTGAGATTTGATTCCCAATTTCAAAAAAAGATATTTGAAAGTAGTATTTATTTATTTTTTTACCAGCTCTAGTGAAACCTTTTGCAGCCATTTGCAAAAGGCCCTTCTTCTTCAGTATAAAGCTGGAACCCACAAAGATACTGGAGCCGATGGCCAATGCGACACCTAGGTATAAGCTGTATTTGCTTCCTTGAGGAGTGGAAACATTCAGCACTGTTTCGTTGGGGTATCTCCCTGAATAGGCAAAGAAAGAAGCTTGTAGCTCCGATACATTGAGGATCTGGCACCATGCATGTTGAGAGTTGGGGCAAGCCAAAGGAAACACTTCCCCTAGGAAAAACAGAAAAAGGATGGACTCAGCATCTGATGCACGTATGTTAGAAAATGTTTGCAGAGCTGATCTACAGGCTTAGCAAAACAAACTCTTAGCAAAACAAACAAAAGTGCAGAGAAGAGCAACCAGGATGATTAGGGGATTGGAGGTTAAAGCATACGACGAACGGTTACAGGAACTGGGCATGGCTAGTCTAGTGAAGAGAAGGACCAGGAGAGCAGGGGTGAAATGTTTACCTGTTCGGACCAGTTTGCCAGAACCGGTAGTAATAATTGCTACAGTTTGCCCGAACCCGTAGTTTTAAAAAATGCTTTAAAAAGTACAACAATCAGCTGTGCCGCACGATCGTTGGAACTTTTTTTTTTTTACTTTTTTTGGGCAATTTTTTTACTACCGATCAGCTGTGAGACAATCAGCTGTGCCTGATTGTCTGTGAGGTTCCTGCTTGTTGCAGGGGCCATTTTGTATGAAGTCCAGCTGCTTTTGCATTGTGTGCGAGTCCGTTGTGCAGCTTGTGTGTTATTTTTGTGTAAAGTGTGATAGTTTGTTTTTGAGCTCTCTGTGACTCTGTGAGGTTCCTGCTTGTTGCAGGGGCCATTTTGTGTGATGTCCAGCTGCTTTTACATCGTGTGTGAGTCAGTTGTGCAGTCACGCCCACCTGGTCACATGACCACCAAGCCACGCATGTTCGGTCATAACCAGCAAGCCACGTCCATGCAGTCACATGACCAAGTCACACCCGCCCAGTCATGACCATCAAGCCACGCCTGCCTGGCCACATGACCACCAAGCCACACCCACCAAGCCATGCCCACGGAACCAATAGGGAAAATTTTTGAATTTCACCACTGCAGGGGAGACATGATAGCAGTCTTCCAATATCTGAGGGGCTGCCACAGAGAGGAGGGGGGGTCAAGCTATTTTCTAAAGCACCCGAAGGCCAGACAAGGAATAATGGATGGAAACTGATCAAGGAGAGATTCAACTTAGAAATAAGGAGACATTTTCTGACAGTGAGAACAATCCACCGATGGAACAGAAGTTTCCTTCGGAAGTTGTGGGAGCTTCATCACTGGAGGCTTTCAAGAAGAGCTTGGGCTGCCATTTTTCAGAACTGGTGTAGGGTCTCCTACTTGGGCAGGGGGTCAAATTAGATGACCTACAAGGTCCCTTCCAACTGTGTTAATCTGTATCTGTATTAATCTGTATCTCCTTCCATCAGATCAACTGAGAAGCTGTATTGCAAAACTGCAGGGCATCAGGCATAAAGAATAAGTTCTTTCTTCATGACCATTAATTCAAATAACTTGTTTGTAGTTGTGTTCCCCTTCTATCCCCTCATCTAAATCATTTATGAAGATATTCTAGAATACCCCACCTAAGGCAGAACCCCACTACATGCTATCGTCCATGTAGATGTGTAGTTCCACTGAGGAGAACCTGCCAAGAGTGGTTGGTCAGCTAGTTGCAAATCCATCTAGCGGTAGTACTGTCTATCTCACATTGTTCTTCTATTTGCCAAGAAATAGGCTGCGGTCTACTTTGTCAAATGCCTTACTGAACTCTAAGTAAACTATGCCCATAGCATTTTCCCTTATCCATTAATTTAGTCACTTTGACATAGAAGGCAATAAGGTTTGTCTGGCAGGATCTGTTTTTGACAAACCCATGCAGGCTTCAAGTAATTGTCTTGTTCATTTCAAGATGCTCTCTGCTATTTTTATTTTTATTTTATTTTATTTCGAATTTATATACCGCACCTTCTCCCGAGGGACTCAGGGCGGTGTACAGCCAGATAAAAACATACAATACAAACATTAAAAACAATTAAAAGAATATATATTAATTTGGCCCCAGTTTAAAATGACAAACCAATTAAAATATTTAAAAATATGTTAAGCCAGCCCTCATTTCCCTCATGGCCAATTCATCACTGCCAACTCGCCATGGACAACTCATCGCAGGACAAGAGGTACACTAATATCAAAGAATAGAAATAGAAATAATAGAAATAGAAATATAGAAATAGAAATAGAAATGAGAAATAATGAGAAATGAGGAAAGAGAAATGAGGAAGAGGAAGAGAAATGAGGAAGAGGAAAGAACAGAACAGAACAGAACAGAACAGAATAGAATAGAATTCTTTATTGGCCAAGTGTGATTGGACACACAAGGAATTTGTCTTGGTGAATATGCTCTCAGTGTACATAAAAGATATATTCGTCAAGAATCATAAGGTACAACACTTAATGATAGTCATAGAGTACAAATAAGCAATCAGGAAACTATTAATATCAATATAAATCATAAGAATACCAGCAACAAGGTTACAGTCATACAATCATAAGTGGGAGGAGATGGATAATAGGAACGATGAGAAGATTAGTGAATAATAACAGTAAATAGTTTGAGAGTGTTGAGGGAATTATTTGTTTAGCAGAGTGATGGCGTTCAGGGAAAAAATTGTCCTTGTGTCTAGTTGTTTTGGTGTGCAGTGCTCTATAGCGTCGTTTTGAGGGTAGCAGTTGAAACAGTTTATGTCCAGGATGCGAGGGGTCTGTAAATATTTTCACAGCCCTCTTTTTGACTCGTGCAGCATACAGGTCCTCAGTGGAAGGCAGGTTGGTAGTCATTTTATCTCTATTAGTAAGAATTAAGTCCAGTACAGCTGACCTCTAGTCAGCTCTACCTTTTGGATGACGAAGTTGTGAGCTCGGCTGGTCAGGAACTTGTTTGATCTCCTAGTTGATGTCGGGGTAGTTAAAGTCCTCCATTATTACTGTGGTGCATTTCCTGCACGCTTTGTTTAGCCGACGAGCAGAATGTTCATTATGTCTTCTGCTTAAGTTGGGTGGCCTATAGTATACACCAGTGATGGCTAACCTTTTCTGGATCAAGTGCCCAAAGCGTGCGTGGCTGAACCTCCAAAATGCAATGCGCGTGTGGCCCCCATGCATGCGCCCCACCGTGGCACATGCGTGTGCCCCCCACGCATGTGCGTGACCCTGCACTCACCCCTGCACATCCGCATACGCCCCCGCCCCTCCGCACATGTGCACCCCCTACATGCACCCCTCCTGCACACACCACACACCACGCATGTGTCCCCACACACACGCCCCACCCCCCGCGCATGCACGACAGAGACCCGAAGACCAGCTGGCTAGTGGGAGGCACATGTGCAGGGGAGATGAACTGGGGCAATGGCTCATGTGGCCAGAGAGAGGGCGCTGCATGCCACCTCCGGCACGCATGCCGTAAATTCCCCATCATGGATATACACCTATGGCAATGTCATTTCTTTCTTTTTTTCTCTCTTTTATATTAACCCATATTCCGTAGAGGTGCACTGGTTTCTCACATATAAGCTAACACCAGCACAGTGGTGAAATCCAAAATTTGTTTACTACCGGTTCTGTGAGCATGGCTTGGTGAGTGTGGCTTGGTGGGGGAAGGATACTGCAAAATCTCCATTCCCACCCCACTCCTAGGGGGAGGATATTGCAAAATCCCCATTCCCACCCCACTCCTGGGGGAAGGATATTGCAAACTCTCCATTCCCACCCCACTGTGGGGCCAGCCAGAGGTGGCATTTGCCAGTTCTCTGAACTGCTCAAAATTTCCGCTACGGGTTCTCCCGAACCTGTCAGAACCTGCTGGATTTCACCCCTGCACCAGCATCTTTTTTGTTAGGTCTATTTCTTTTGAACAGTTGATATACTTCCAGCATCACGTTCCAGTCACCAGTTTCATCCTCCCCACCTTCGGTAATGGCACCTATATCATACCTGTCCTCCTGTACTAAGAGGTCAGGTTCACCCTGCTTATTCCTCATACCCGGAGCATTAGTGTAGTAGAGGCATCCGAGTCCTTTACAGGCTGACGCTGGGCTTTCCTTGTTCTTGAGTTCCCCCTTCCTTCTCACCACTCCCTTCCTCATTGTTCGATGGATTACCTTGGGGGTGGGGGTGGGGGGTTGTGTTTTGGATTTGGTCCTCAAGATCCTATAGATCGGTCACCCTCCCTTTTTTTTCAAGGTTGTGTTTAAAACCCCCTCCAGCTTTAAACTAAAGCCATTTGCATTTGATATTATTATTATTATTATTATTATTATTATTATTATTATTATTATTATTATTATTTAATCTTTAGTGAGATTCACAGCCTTTGAGGCTGGTTAATAGCTCAGCAGCTCGAGTCCTAACCAAGGACCTAGGAACTGTTAAGGTATTGTCGGAGGATGTAAGCTGTTCCAAGTAAGGTGGTTTTTTGTAGAGTCAAAATGTTCAAGTCCGGCAAATTTAGAATTTCTAAATAGCGGGGTAGCCCTTTGGGTATTGCTCCGAGGGCTCCAATTACAATCGGGACAACACAGGATTTCTTTTTCCACAGTCACTCAACTTCAATTTGCAAGTCCTGGTACTTTGTGATTTTTTTCTTGCTGTTTATCTTCAATCTGTGCATCACCAGGTATTGCAATGTCAATGAACCATACTTTTTTCTTTTCAACTATTGTTATGTCAGGTGTGTTGTGGACCAAGTGCCTGTCAGACTGAATCCTAAAGTCCCACAAGATCTTGAGTTTCTCATTCTCTAAAACTTTCTCAACCTGATGTTCCCAGTGGTTTTTGCTATACTCAAATCCAAACTCCTCCTCCTCCTCCTCCTCCTCCTCCTCCTCCTCCTCCTCCTATTATTATTATTATTATTATTATTATTATTATTATTATTATTATTATTATTATTATTATTATTATTATTTTCATGTAGCGCTTTTTCTGCAGAAAGCCACTCCATTCCACGCTCACCACTCTCACCTGTTGAGTTCGGAGGCGCCAACTCCGGTTTAAAGATGCAGTTTTAAAAACTTTTTTTTAGAAAAAAAAAACAACTTTAAAAACTTCCCACGCCTAGGAGGATTGGCGGAACCCAGGCGCGGCAAAGCCTGCTCCCTTCTCCTAAGCGAGGAAACCCCCCCTGGCTAATCCCTCTCTAGTTGTGACTCTACTACTGCCACTACTACTACTTTACTACTACCACTACTACTACTGCTCACGTCTTTCTCAGCGACTCAGGTGGGAGGCGAATCTTTGGGCAGAAATTAAAGATCCCCCCCACCCTTCCCCACCCAAAAAAAGGGGGGGAAGCGGGGAGAAGGCAGCCACTGACCTTCCTTGCACGACTGGGGGAGCAACACCATTTTCTCCCCACGCTCGGACAGCTCACACACCGGCCAGGGACGGACGATCCCTCGCAGTCAGCGGGACAGGAGGAGACCCCCTCGCCCGCCCGCCCGCCCGTGGGACCCGCAGCAGCCCAGCGCTCGGAGCCGCCTTCCTCGCTTGGCGAGGCGAACATCTGGCGCGGCCTCCTCCCTTTTTAAAGAGCCGCGCCGCGCCCACCAATCCCAGCCGAGGGGCGGGAGCCGCGGAGAGACCTCCGGCGCTGCTCCGCTTCTTTCTAGCTCTGGTGTGTTTTCTTTTTTTTTTTTTTCTCCCCCCCCTCCATTGTGACGTCATAAAGGCCAGCAATCGGTTTGAACGTTCCATCCTGACAGCCTGGGTTCCTTCCCGAGGAGAAGCGGCGCTTTCTTATAGGATCCGTCTGCGGAAACCGAGTCCAAGCAACCGAGGTTTGGCTGAAGGTGAGCCTTTTTGGCGGAGGGGGTGGGGGTGGGGTGTTCAGATAAATGGAGAATAGAATAGAATAGAATATAGAATTAGAATAGAGTAGAATAGAATAGAATAGAATAGAATAGAATAGAATAGAATAGAATAGAAATATAGAATTAGATTGGAATGGAATAGAATATAGAATTAGATTGGAATAGAATACCATACCATAGCATAGCATAGAATATAGAATTAGATTGGAATGGAATGGAATGGAATGGAATAGCATAGCATAGCATAGCATCGAATATAGAATTAGATTGGAATGGAATAGAATATAGAATTAGATTGGAATAGAATACCATACCATAGCATAGCATAGAATATAGAATTAGATTGGAATGGAATGGAATGGAATGGAATAGCATAGCATAGCATAGCATAGCATAGAATATAGAATTAGATTGGAATGGAATAGAATATAGAATTAGATTGGAATAGAATACCATAGCATAGCATAGCATAGAATATAGAATTAGATTGGAATGGAATCGAATGGAATCAAATAGAATATAGAATTAGATTGGAATAGAATAGCATAGCATAGAATATAGAATTAGATTGGAATGGAATGGAATGGAATAGAATATAGAATTAGATTGGAATAGAATAGAATAGAATAGAATAGAATAGAATAGAATAGAATAGAATAGAATAGAAAATACATAGCATAGCATAGCATAGCATAGAATATAGAATTAGATTGGAATGGAATGGAATGGAATAGAATATAGAATTAGATTGGAATGGAATGGAATGGAATATAGAATAGAATAGAATAGAATAGAATAGAATAGAATAGAATAGAATAGAATAGAATAGAATAGAATAGAATAGAATATATAGCATAGCATAGCATCGAATATAGAATTAGATTGGAATGGAATAGAATATAGAATTAGATTGGAATAGAATACCATACCATAGCATAGCATAGAATATAGAATTAGATTGGAATGGAATGGAATGGAATAGTATAGCATAGCATAGCATAGCATAGCATAGAATATAGAATTAGATTGGAATGGAATAGAATATAGAATTAGATTGGAATAGAATACCATAGCATAGCATAGCATAGAATATAGAATTAGATTGGAATGGAATCGAATGGAATCAAATAGAATATAGAATTAGATTGGAATAGAATAGCATAGCATAGAATATAGAATTAGGATTGGAATGGAATGGAATGGAATAGAATATAGAATTAGATTGGAATGGAATGGAATAGAATAGAATAGAATAGAATAGAATAGAATAGAATAGAATAGAATAGAATAGAATAGAATAGCTTTGTTGCTTGTATCCTTTCTATTGATATTGATTTTTTTCCTGATTGCTTATTTCTACCCTATGACTATCATTAAGTGTTGTACCTTATGATTCTTGATGAACGTATCTTTTCTTTTATGTACACTGAGAGCATATGCACCAAAGACAAATTCCTTGTGTGTCCAATCACACTTGGCCAATAAAGAATTCTATTCTATTCTATTCTATTCTATTCTATTCTATTCTATTCTATTCTATTCTATTCTATTCTATTCTATTCTATTCTATTCTATTAGGATAGGATAGGATAGGATAGGATAGGATAGGATAGGATAGGATAGGATAGGATTAGTAATAGAAATAATAGAAATAGAAATAATAGAAATAGAGCTGGAAGGGACCTTGGAGGTCTTCTAGTCCAGCTCCCTGCTCAAGCAAGAGAACCTATACAATCTTAGGCAAGCAACTGTCCAGTCTCTTCTTAAAAACCTTCAGTGATGAAGCGCCCACAATATCTGGCAGGCAAGCTGTTCCACTGGTTAAGAATAAGAATAAGAATAATAATTTTAACAGTGAGGTTAATGGTCCTCACTGTTAGGAAGTTTCTCCTTAATGCCAGGTTGCTTCTCTCTTTGATCAGTTTCCAACCATGGCTTCTTGTCCTGCCCTCCGGTGCTTTGGAGAATAATTTGACCCCCTCTTCTTTGTGGCAGCCTCTCAAACACTGGAATGCTGCTATCACGTCACCCCTAAATGCTGCTACTCCGTCATCCCGTTGTCGAAAATGGCACAGGGCCTCCTGCTTGAGTAGGGGGTTGGACTAGAAGACCTTCGAAGTCCCTTCCAATTCTGTTATTTGATTCGTCTTACTCCACTGCTTTCCTCGGCTTGCCTGATCTCTTGTGTGTTAAGTCTCCGGTTGTACAGCAAAGGATGGGGTGGATCCTACCATTCGTCTTCCTGATCGTCTCTGGAAAACTGGGAATAAATGCGGGGTAAGGAATTAAAGGAACTTAATCCCGTTCATAAAGAAAACGGTTTAGAAAATTTAAGATGCACGAATCCCAGCCATCACAATTCATGCCTTGTGATTTAGCCTCCCTCTCCCCAGTTTGATGAATCTGGCCATTTCCCCCACTATAATGCATTATTAAAATTGACTCTGAAATATGCTCATCTAGGAACTTCTGGGGAGCAACATGGAAACAGCAATTAATTAGCTTTCAAGAACATAAACCCATCTGAATGCCGTAGGACAGATCTCAGGTCGGTAGATAGGAATTTATCCGTCCATCCATCCTCTTTCTCTCTCTCTCGTCCTATTTTAAGAAACGCAGGCTTAACGCACTTGAAAATATCCCTGGCATGAATGCTGTTAGGGGAAAAAAATCTGCTTTATCTGTTTTTAAATATGATACTCCCAAAAGTAGCTCCAACGGTGTTTTTTTTCCCCCCTTCTCTCTCATCTTCAGGCAGTCCAACTTCTAGACCCTTCTAGCCTCTATTAGATTGAGAATGTCTGATCTGAGACAAGTTGACCATCAACAAAATGTGGTTATTTGACGGTACTATTCAGATCTGCTCGATTAAACCATAATCTTAGGGGTTAAACCAGGAAGTATGCCTTTGCACGGAATTTATTTCTTAATTCCACCCTTTCTGGGAGATGACGGTTTTTATAACCTGTAAACAATGGCATATATATATATATATATATATATATATATATTTGATTTTTTTGAAATGCAATCATGATTGCCATTTTGATTTCCAGATTGCTGAATTTAAGGAAGACGAGAGAGGCCTACAACGAACCCTGAGTCCTTCGGGAGAAGGGCGGTATGTAAATTTAAATATTAAATTAAATTATTATTAAATTATATTAAAATCAAATAAATATTTTCCTTACTAATTTTTTCAGAGAGGATACCCAATAGGAACAGCTCTGGTTTGAATTCAATACATTGCTGTGTCATTTCTTCCAACCAAGTCTTAATTTTATTCCAATAATTTTTAGCTTCAGGGCATGTCCACTACCTATGATAATATGATGGTTTATGCCACCTTTTGAAGAAAAGGAGTGCAAATGTGGCCTGCTGTTTAGGGTTGATTTCACATGATTTCAAGAAACAATAGAGTTCTTTTCAAGATTTGTAGACATCCTTTGAAGCAGTTTTCGGATTTGAGTTCGAAGCACTGCAGGCGCTCCTGCGTGCAACATGCTAAGCTGTTGTGAACCGTCTGAAACATGGTTTAAAGAAGTAATCCAATTCTACGAGTATGCACCACAAAATGGAGCTGGGCGTAGTAGCTGCCTTCCTGTGGATTGCCGGAGAGAAACTTCATGAAGACTACCGATCACTCTCTCTTCTCTTGTACAACAAGGTTCATCCTGGCTCATTGATCTAGCCCAGTATTTCTGAACCTCGGCGATGTGAAGATGTGTGTGGATTTCAATTTCGAGAATTCCCCAGTCACCACGGTCTGGTAGAAGTGGCCTACAAGATCATAAACCCAGACAAGAACCAAGAAACTCAAATTATTACAAGATAGATGTGAAGTACTCCACATTCAAACAGGACAGTTGAAATCATGGTAAGATAAGCATGAATATTAGCAAAACTTCACTAAATACTTTCTTATCTATATGTGCTAGGCTGTATCCACTACACACACGTCTCTATTTTTGTACATCATAGACTCGCAGTTGTAGTTTAGCCTAGAGCAAGGGTCAGCAACCTGCGGCTCCGGAGCCACATGCGGCCTCTGCTGTGGCTCCCTGTCATGTGATTCCCACCATCGGCTGGCCCCGCCCCTCGCCCTCTCCTCCCAGTCACTCCTCGCCTGGCGTAAGGGCAATGGCGGGAGATGGAGAAGCAGCCAGGGCAGAGACAGAGATACAGAGAGAGAGAGACAGAGAGAGATACAGAGAGAGTGGGAGGGAGAGAGGGAGGGAGGGGAGAGAGAGAGATGTCAAAAGGATTGTGTGGTTCCCGGTGTTTTTTAACAACTGGTTCTCTGCCCTAATGACCGGCTGGGTAGGCGTGGCTAGTGGGGGTCATATGACTGGTGAAAGTGACTGACGTTGAGTTGGCCATGCCCACCTAGGTTTTGTGGCTCCCGGTGTTTTCTTTTCTGTGGGAAACGGGTCCAAATGGCTCTTTGAGTATTTAAGGTTGCAGACACCTGGTTTAGGTTCATGCTTTTGCAAGAACACAGGTAAATGTTTCTGGTTGAGATTGTTACGTTCTAGGGCAGATGTCAGCAACCTGCAGTTCTGGAGCAGCATGTGGCTTTTTCACCCCTCTGCTGCGGCTCCCTGTCACTCAAAATATGCGTCACAACCGCCAATGTGCGACACCTGCTAGCACACGATTTATTGAGCTTTTCAACCCCCCGGTAGGCCAACGTTGGATAAATCCAAGAAAAGAAAAGTTTCAGAAGAAAACAGAATGTTAAATTCAACTACATAGGCTAGTTTTGTGGTCGCTTAAGAAATAGTCAGGCACGGGAAGGGTTTTGTGGCTCCTGGTGTTTTCTTTTCTGTGGGAAGCAGGTCCAAATGGCTGTTTGAGTGTTTAAGGTTGCAGACCCCTCTTGTAGGGAATTTAGAAAGAGCATCAAGTAATCCAAGCAGTTCTACAGCTAAGGTTTTTCCATGCAATCAATGGTCTCAGGTTCAGAAATGATTTGTCAGAATACCTAGAAAATGAATAATCCTACACTGGTTTCCTAGATGCTTCCAAGCAGAGCTTCAATTGTGCCACTTTGACTTTTTTTGACCATATCCTGTGGCAACCTCTGTAGATGGCTGACTCTCTAAATTACTTAGGTGATTAGAAGCCTTGAAGACCGAAATGATACACAGTATGGAATACCTTACACGGTGTCACTCTGCGCAGGTAGTCCTCGACTTACAACAGTTCATTTAATGACTGTTCAAAGTTACAACGGCGCAGAAAAAATGTGACTTACGACCGTTTTTCACAGTTACAACCTTTGCAGCATCCCCATGACCACGTGATCAAAATCCCCGATGCTTGGCGACTGGTTCATATTTATGACCGTTGGCGGTGTCCCAAGGTCATGTGATCCCCTTTTGCGACCACCTGAGAAGCAAAAGCAGTGGGGAAGCCAGATTCACTTAACAACTGGGTTACTAACTTATCAGCTGCAGTGATTCACTTAACAACTGTGGCAAGAAAAGTCGTAAAATGGGGCAAAACCCACTTAGCAAATGTCTCACTTAACAACAGGAATGTTGAGCTCAATTCTGGTCATAAGTCGAGGACTCGCTGTATTCTGATCTGCGGCCTTATTCACACATCATCACTAAGGCATAATGCAGGATGTGGAAACCATCCACCGTGGCATAGTGGATTTGGTGAAGCGGGCCACTGTAGCTTAACCAGAATGAAAACAAATACATATTAATGGGACATATGACTCAGTCCAGGCCTCTGGAATGTACAGAATAAAACTGTAAGAACTATCCAGATTTTTTTCCTCAGAAGATTTGGAAGGCTTTGTGATAGAGATTGCCTTAATGGGATTGAAAGGAATTGGGAAATGCTTGACTAAGCAAAATACAAGGCAAGATTAAAGATGGCCTATTAAAACTGACCTAGTGCTGTTGTCCTCCAAACCATCTAAGATTTCAAATTGTAAATAATTAGAGAATATATATATATATATATACTGTTTTCCCCAAAATAAGACATCCCCTGACAAGACATTCCCCTTGGCAAAAAGGCCAAGCGCTTATTTCAAGGTTCAAAAAAATATAAGACAGGGTCCTATTTTTGGGGAAACACAATATTTTTGCCCAGAAGTTTGTTATGTACAGAAGGCCAAGCATTTGTTTATAGACAGTGGACTTGCTTTGCTGTTAATATTGGTCTGAAAAGGAATGACAGAAATACATAAATCATGTGGGAGTTATGATTTTAAATATCAATTATTCCTCGTGGAAAAAATTTGAGAAGAGAGCAAAATATGTACATTTTAGGGCCCAAATTAGTATTGCTTTATTGTGCTGAAATTCAGGTTAGTTCTTTTTATTATTAATAGGGTATTTTTCCTTTTTCCTCCAGTCCTTTGGATTGCTGCACCTAGGGAGCCAAGATACTGCTTGCAATAGCAACAAGCAGTACCAGTATTTTTTGGACTATAAGACGTACTTTCCACGCAACCCCCCATCTCATGGGAAGTAGCAGTGGGGGGAGGGTGGTTGGTGCAGTGCCGATCAGCTGTTTTAGGCGGCAGGAATCGCCGCCACCTATCACCTGAACGGGCCACAGCGGTGGCGAAAGGGGCTGCAGCGGCAGCAAACAGGCGGCGGCGAATGGACCGCAGCAGTAGCGAATGGGCCAGGCTGTGGTGAACGGGCTGTGGTAAACGGGCGGCGGAAGCACAGGCATATTTTCTTTTCTTGTTTTCATCCTCTAAAGCAGCGGTGAAATCTGAACCGGTTTACTACCGGTTCACTGGCTGCGCGTGCACACCACACACCAAATGCGAGGTGTGCACGCGCAGTGCATGCCAAAAGGAGGCATGTGGTAAGTAGAACAGCGCGTGAGGGGGGGATGATCAGCTGTGGCGCACGATCTTTTTTTTTAAAAAAAGCCTCTGACGATTGCGCAGCTCAGCTGCGATTGTCGGAGGCTTTTTTTTTTTTTACTTTTAAAAGCTTTTTTTTCAGCCGAAGAGTTTGTAGGAAAAAAATGCTTTTAAAAGTTAAAAAAAAAGCATCTGATGATTGCCCAGCTCAGTTGGGCATGGGGGAGGGGGGGCAGGGATTTTTGCTATCGGTTCTCCGAACTACCCGCCGCCATCGCTACCGGATTGGGCGAACCGGTCCGAACCAGGAGCATTTCACCCCTGCTCTAAAGTTAATGTGCGTCTTATACTCCAGAGCGTCTTATAGTCTGAAAAATACGGTATATTTCTCTATAAAAAGAGAAAAAAAAAATAGATAAATCTGAGTTTGTCCTGTGTTTAAAGTACAGTAAATTTTCAAAGAAAGAACTTATCTCTGTCCCTTCTGAAAATGACTGAGTGTCACTCACATATTTCAGCCACAATCTGGATTTGAAGGACATTCCAAACCTGATATCAATATTTATTATCGGTTTATTTTATTGGCCCTTATTTGATTCCTAATTCCCATTATGCGTGTGGTTGCTGCGGTGTGGAGACTTAAAGGATTTATTTCATTACATTTGCAGATTACATTTCCAAGATAAGCGGGGCTGCAGCCTAATTCCATTATATTGCCAACAGCAGTATTGGAATCCTTTCTCCGCTACAGCTCATTTATTTTACCTCAAGTTACTGTATTATAGATTTATTCTTCAATGGAAGATTGAAGATTTCATTGTCGCTTTGGATTTATTACAGCGCAGGGAAAGAAACGAGGTTGGTATTTATGGTTTATATGTAGTCCTCGGCTTACGGCCACAATTGAGCCCCAGATTTCTGTGGCAGAGAGAGGCAGTTGTGAAGTGTGTTTTGCCCCATTTTATGACTTTTCTTGCCTCCGTTGTTAAGTGGATCACTGCGGTTGTTAAGTTAACAACACGGTTGTTAAGTGAATTTGGTTTCCCCATTGATTTTGCTTGTCAGAAGGTCTGAACCAGGGGTGGGTTCTCCTTACCTTTACTACCAGTTTGTAGCGGGGCCGCGCGCGCTCTCTCTTCTGCACATGCACAGAAACTTCTGCACATGCACAGAAGCATTTTGGTGACTTCGGGGTCAGTGAGCGGAGCCTCCCTCCGGTTTTACTAGAACCGGTGCAAACCGGAGGCAACCCCACCACTGATCTGAACCAATTGCCAAGCATCCAAATTTTGATCACGTTGTCATAGGGATGCTGCAAAGGTCATAACTGTGAAAAACGATCATAAGTCACATTTTTCAGTGCCGTTCTAACTTTGAAAGGTCACTAAACGAACGGTTGTAAGTCGAAAACTACCTATACTGTGTTGTTTTTATTTTTGAAAGCTTGTTTTACAATGTATAAAAAGGGCAACATCTGTAAATAGTTCTAATGTTGAAAAATGTAACATTTCTTGAAAATCTCTTTGTTTGGAAAAATGATTTTATGTACTTCTCATTGAAGAACTTGCCAACCAGTAAAAAACCTTCTAGAATATAGAATATAGAATTAAAGTTGTATATACCAAAAAATAATTTGCAACTCAGATCTAATTATATTTCCAGTAAAATATTTAAAATTTGCCCATGAGCTGTTTAAAAGAGCCTTCCATTATTTGATGCCAACTTTCTCCATCCTTTTCTCTCTGTATTATTGTACGGCTGTTGTGTTTTTATTTTTCCATACTTTTCATTTCATACTATATTTTTTAATGTAATCACAGAGAGCCATTTTGGCAGGGGTGAAATCCAAAATTTTTCTCTACCGGTTCTGTGGGCGTGGCTTGGTGGGCATGGCAGGGGAAGGATATTGCAAAATCTCCATTCCCACCCCACTCAGGGGCCAGCCAGAGGTGGTATTTGCCGGTTCTCCGAACTATTCTAAATTTCTGCTACCGGTTCTCCAGAACCTGTTAGAACCAGGGTGGATAAAAATCAAT